TAGCTTTTATTTGGCTTGTTTCACTCAACAGAATGTTTGGATGTACATTCATGTTGTTTTGTGTATCAGTAGTTCATTCTTTGTTATTGATGAGTGGTATTTTATTGTATAAATATACCCCAATTTGTTTATCCATTTTCCTGTTGTTGGACATTCAGATTATTTCCAGTTTGTGGTAGTATGGCTTGCTGAGAGCATTCTTATACAGCTCTTTTTGTAGATAAGTGTTTTTGTTTATATTGAATAAATACCTCAGAATGAAATTCCTGGATCATATGGTAAATATACGTTTAACTTTATTTATATAAAAAACTACCAAACAAATGTTCCAAAATAGGTACCATTTTTTGTACTTCCACCAACAATGTGTTAAGAGTTCCAGTTGCTCCATATTCCTAGCCCATAATTAGTGTTGATTTTAGAATTTTAGTGGATATGAAATGTTATTATGATTTTTAAATTTATTTATTTATTTTTGGCTGTGCTGGGTCTTTGTTGCTGCACGCAGGCTTTCTCTAATTGTGACAAGTGGTGGTTTCTCTCGTTGCAGTGACGGGCTCTAGGCGTGTGGGCTTGAGTAGTTGTGTCACATGGGCTCAGTGGTTGCAGCTCATAGGCTTAGCTGTCCCGCAGCATGTGGGATCTTCCCGGACCAGGGATCGAACCCTGCATTAGCAGGCAGATTCTTAATCACTGGACCACCAGGGAAGTCCCTTTTTAAAATTTTATTTATTTATTTATTATGATTTTAATTTACATTTCTTTGATGAAAATGATGAGGTTATCTCTTTATATGTTTATTGGCTTCACATTTATCTTTTCTTGTTAATTATTTATTCACATCTTTTGCCTGTTTTCAATTACACTGTTTATCTTTTATGGATTTTTTTAGTTTTTTTTTGTTTGTTTTTAAGTTTTGCCTTGTTTTTTACTAAAGTCCAGAAATTTCCATATGACGAGTACATCTGCAAGTCCTTTATTAGGTAGGTAAATTTTTAATTTTAATGAAGTGCAGTGTATCAGTTGGTTTTCTTCCACGATGTTTTTTTTTGCATCCTATCCAAGAAATCTTTGCTGATCCCCAAGATCATGAAGATGTTTTTCTTTTATAAGCTTTATGGTTCTGAGTTTTACATTTAGGTCTTTGATTCAACTCAAATGAATTAATTTCAAATTACTATTGATACTATTGTAAAAGGTACAATTAAAGCTTTTATTTTCAATTATTTGTTTCCAGAATATAGAAATACAGTTGATTTTTGCATATTAACCTGATAGCTCATGACCTTGATAAATTAGTGTATTGGTTCTGTTAGCCTTGGAGGGTTTTTTGTTTTAGGGTTTGGTTTTTGGGTTTGTTTGTTTGTTAAATTCCATAGTTTTTCCTACATGCACCATATTTTCTGTGAATAGCAGCAACTGCAGTCTTTATGCTTTTAATTTATTTTTCTTGCTTTATTGCACTAGCTAAGACTTTAGATACAAAATTGAATAGAATTGATAAAAGCATACATCCTTCCTTTTTTCCAGTATTAGAGGAAAAAGATTTAATGTTTCACTAAGACGTGTAATGTTGGCTATAGATCTTATAAATGTTCTTTGTCAGATTGGAACTGCTGCATTGTTATTCATGGCTTGCTAAGAAATTTTATTTTTATGCAGAAGTGTTGAATTTTGTTAAGTGTTCTTTTTTCTGCATCAGTAAGATGATCATATGGTTTTTCTCCTTTATTTTGTTAATGTGATGAATAACACTGACTTTTTTCCTAGTATTAAATTAACTTTGCTTTCCTGGAATAAGCCCTGATGGTCATTATATAGGATCCTTTGTATTGTTGGATTCTATTTATTCATATTTGTTAAGAATTTCACATTTCTGTTTATGGGAGATTTTCATCTCTAATTTTCTTTTCTTGTAATATTCTTGTCAGATTTAATATTCAGGGTTATGTTAGCTTTATAAAACAAGTTGACAAGCATTCTTTTAACCTTTGTTTTCTGAAAGAATTTGTGTAAAATTGGTATTATTTCTTCCATCTGTAACATTTGATGGAATTCAATTGTGGAGGCCTGTCTGGGTCTAGAGCTCTCTTAGTGATAAGATTTTTTATTATTATTTTGTAAATTAATATGGGCTATTTAGATTTTCTGTTTCTTCTATGTCAGTTTTTATAAGTTGTGTTTGGATATGTTTGTCCATTTCATTTAAGATGAAACAGCATAAAACTGTTTATAATGTATCCTTTTTATTTTAATAATTCCTATAGGATTTGTAGTAATATCTGCTTTTTTCATTCCTAAAAATTATAATTTGCATTTTCTCTATTTTTTTCTTGATCAGTCTTGCCAGGGGAATTATCAGTTTTATTCATCTTTTTAAAGAACCAATATTCGACCTTTTTTAAAATTGTATGTTGTTTGTCCATTTACCAATTCATTGATTTCCATTCTTACTGTTATTTCCTTTCATCTACTAACCTAGATGAAAGATAAATAAGGTGAAACCCTACTTAACCTAGGGTTTAATTTGATCTTCTTTTACTAGTTTCTTAAAGTATAAGCTTAGAGCATGGATTTTATATCTTTTTTATTTTTTAATATAAACATTTAAAGCTGAAAATTTTTCTCTTAACAGTTTCATTAGCTTTATTCCATAAATCTTCATGTATTATGTTTTCATTATCATCAGTTAAAATAATTTTTTAGTTTCCCTGTGATTATCTTTTTGATTCATGGATCTTTAGAAGACTGTTGTTTATTTGCAAATATGTGGGAATTTTCTGGATATCTTATTTTTACCAAGATTTTTGGTGGAGCTATTTATTTGGATCTATGCTAAATACTCCTGCCTTTGTAAAAAAGTAATTAATGAATGTCTCTTTTGACCCTCTAAAGTTTCCTAAATATGGGCTTTGAGATATTCATTTCTTGGCATCTTTCATCTGTTTCTTTTTTGAAACTTAAGTGATGTACAGTATGTATTATAGTTCTATAACACATTATGGATTATGGGACAAATTTTAATATTTCAAAGTTGTCTCCACATAGTCCTGCTGTAGTTTACTTTTATTTTACATAGAAAGATATAAACAATACTTGTCCCATCTTAATATTAAGTTTGGAGATTAATTTTTCTTTAATTTTTGTGGATATTTTTAACCCAAGCTAAAAATTGTTTTCTTTTGGATAGGTATCAACAAATGATAACCTAATAATTTGACCAGGTCTTTTTAGATAGCATTTTCACTAAGTTTGTTTTTTAGAGTTGGTGTTATTAAAGTCTGAAGAATTTATGTATTCTTAAATCCAGTGTGCCCAGAAAACAGTAAGCTGTATTAGTACCAAAGCCATATTAAATGCAATTTCATCATCTTTGATGAACCAGCCAGTCCACTAGGTATTACAGCACCTTGGAGGTGAGCATTATGAAATCTATCTACTGTAGGTTTGCACAAGGGCAGGTCAGTAAAAATTTAGAGTCAATAGATGTTAGAAATAAGAATGTCCATTGTGTTGGGACTTTCTATGTTCATTTTTAGATGATTATCACTCTTAAAATGTAGTAGTTTAATCTCATTTATTAAGTGTCATGAATATCAGGCTGGGAATTGCAGCAAAAAGTGATTTCTCAAAGAAATATACATTATCATGAACTGAGGTAATAGTTAACAAGTCATTCTTACAAATGCAGATGTTTGTATAGTATTGCATATAGGAATTCCCAAGGAAACTAGTTCTTTTTCTTTTGCATTTCTTCTGTAGCTCTTCCAGACAAACAAAGTAGAACAAATAAAACCCCAAGGTGAGCCAAATCTCTGAATCTGAAACTGTCTGATAAAATACTACAATGGGATAAAGATAAATTATAGTCTGCCAGGAGCTCTCTTCAGTATGGTTCTTCTAAATATATATAAGAATAAAAAGACTTTCTGATGTAGCTCTCCAAAGACACTTGTTTTCTTTTCAGAACACTCTGGCACTGACTAGACAAATACTTATCTACCTTCATACAAACATATGTCTTCCCTGTCCTGTGAGGGACGGTGACTGTCTCTGCCCTCTTAACCTTCACATGGAAGGAGCCTGCAAGTTTATATGGATGACATGTTACAATGGACAACATGGCTACTAGAAAGTTGGGTTTTAAGCCACCCTATTAAGCCTAATCTGATGTAGAATATTCACGTTGGCACAAAGAACAGAAGCGAGAGACGTTAAGAAACGCTTTGCTGTAATCTACCGTACCAGCATTGCCCAGGGTGGAGTGTGTGGAAAATACTTTAACAATCTGATGGTATTTTCTGCCCTTTTTATTTGGTTGGGAATTTGAACATTGCAGGTTAACTCATAAAATAAAAATGTAAAAAGGCAAGGTACACCTATATGAGGCAATGTCTTTCATTAAGATAGCAAAACCCAGCATACTTGTTTATGGTGGCTTGGAGGATATTTGGGGTAGACCTTCAACTTGCTAATGTTCCATGAGGCCCAGGTTTGACATTTGAAAGTGGCAGTCTTGTAGAGTGATGGTGTTCCTATACAAGGAGGAGACAGTATCTGTAATATTCAGTGTACTCAGGGACTTGGCCCTTCTTGAAATTTCCAGTGCAGGTGAATTTGACTTATTTTATCACATGGTCCAGTTCTATCCAAATGCTGTTGATAAGAGACGAGGACAGGAAAACCTCAGGGTCTACTTCTGATGGCATTGCCCCAGGGAATCTGGTCTTCCTACTCCATGCTTAGATTGAGCAGCTCTTGGATTCATTGTAGGTTTTGTATACATCTAAACAACTTGGTCTTGTCATCTCTGAAACTAAGGATGACCCACGGCCAATTTGTTTCATTCTACCTCTTGAAGTAAATAGGACTGTAGGATTAGAATAAAAAGATCTAATGAAGAGCATATGTTCTTGTTCCTCTGGACTAAGTCCAATAAGGCATAACCTTAACATTTATAAGACTTCACTCACCCAACTTCCTGTTTTTTTTTTTTTCAGGCTACAACTGAGGTGGAAATTAAGAAGAAAGGTCCTGGATCTCTCTTAGTTTCTATGGACCAACTGGCTTCCTATGGACGAAAGGACAGGATCAACAGTATATTGAGCGTTGTTACAAATACACTGGTAGAAGGTGTGTGCCCTGTGATGTTGGTCCAAGCTGCTGGGATATAAATATGTACTGTGTATAATATGAATATAGTCCCTTGGTCTGAGTTTTGCTTGCAAAAACTGTCTCTGAGCTTTAGGAATAGAGTCTGTTGGTTATAGAAGCCAGCATCCCAAATCTGCATGCGGAGAATCCAGTGAGGACTTCAAAGCTGTGCACAGATAGGTAAGAAGTACAGAGGAACAACGTAGAGTGAGCCAGAGAATCTTGGCTCTGTAATCATCACAGGTGAGGAACAGGTGAGATGATGTGAGACAGAGAGGAGCGCAGACAGAATTGTCATGATATAAAATGACGGAACCCTCTCATGCCCCCGACCACCAGACGTACCTTCCCCTTTTCCTTTTTAGCTACTTACAAAGCTTTTGGTTTTCCCTTAAGGACAAATACACTGTGCATTTTGATTATACCTAATTCTGCCTGTCTTTAAACACCCCCACATATCCATAAATACACCAGGCATGTGAACAGGTAAGCCGAAATCCCTCTTACATTGGCACCCAGTGCCCTGGGGAAGAGCGGCCGCTGTTGAACCATAGCGTGTCTGCAGCAGCGTGGCTGTCAGAGCCTGGACTCCGTGTCAGGGGCTCCTCCACACCACAGCCTGACTTGCTGAGGGGCAACTGAGCGTTTCCCATTACCCTGAAGCCCCCCAGCCCAGGTCCACTTTCAGTCCCATCTGTAATGCCAGATGGTGGTCTGTATGCCAGGCTCTTCTGGATTTCTTTGGTGGTAGAGTCAGTGACTGGATTTTTTTTCTCACAGGATTCTGGTTGACTCCAAATGCTGCTGCTTCATTTGATTCATGTTAATTTAGCTGATTTGTCACATGATAGACCCACACTGTTCCTGACTGCAGTTCTTCAGAGTCCACACTCCCAGGCTACGCCATAATACTTAGAGTCCCTGAGATAAGGAGACTCAAATTATTCTGGTGTTTCTGGAACATTTTTTTTTTTTTTTAGTCATTTAAGCGAAATACCACTTCTGGTCTGTGAGTGTTTGGGGGAGGGTATGTGGGCAGGTGTGGGTGCGGGTGTATTGGGCAGGGGCAAGCATCTGTGGTGCAAGGAGAATCCCTGGAAACGAACCTCAAGCTCCCCTGGACTGCTCACATCTGCACACGTAGGCAAGGAGTTAGACTGAACCTAGACTGGTCTTGAGAGTGTATCAAGTAAAAGGAACGCCGAACTGCTTTCAGCTCCTGATTTCTTTAATTCTTATTGAGGTCATTGTCTAATAGAACATCTTTAAACTTTACACTTTGAGATAACAGGTAAATAATTGCAAATCATAAGAATTCCAAGATAAGATATATTATTAACAGCTTGGCTAATTTTATTCTTCATTTGGAGAGCAAGACAAGGTTTCTCTTGACTATCTATGGCAGTTGAGAAGGAAAAGCTAACAGCCTCCACCAGGCATATTTTATTCCTGATAAAAACATCAGAGCAGGAGAACTATCCATGCCTTACAACAGTGATGTATTGATTACCTCAGAGGCCTAGCACAGGGTGGTGGCAAAAGCTGATGCTCGAAAGATGTATACTGAACTGAATTTTGTTGTGCTTGAAACTGGGCAGGAGTACTGGGGCTGCAGGAATCCTCTTGGGGGCCTTAGTCTCTGTGCTGCCTTTCCCTCCGATCCCCTCTCCTAGTATTTGATTTTCTTTGCTAAAACTGATGAGACAGAGCTGCTGTAAGCAAAGAACAATGGTTGGCTGGAGCTGAACACTGTGAGAAAGAGTTAATGGACATTAAGAAAGATCCATTCCTATTTAACCACCGCTCCCTCTGTATTTCATGATTGCTGCAACAAGGAAAGCCAGCATTGAATGAATAATTGTTTCTTCTTTTCAGGCCTTCAGTTAGGAAACTGACATCATTTTAGTCCAAAGAAGCAGACCTCTTATCTAATGGTTTAGAAACCACAGTGGAGAATTCCAGAATACTGTAAATAATGGGATAATCCTGCCTGCTCTGTCTCCCCCCATCCTATTGCAAACACCAGGATCCAGTAAACTCAGTGGAATTCACTGTCAGCAGAACCATAACTTTGGGGATATTTCAGAGGACAAGGCATGGGATATCAGCAGAGAGTGATGCAGTCTTACTTCTCAAAGCAGTAGAGCTTCGGGAGAGAGTTGAAGTAAGAATGAGGAAGTGATGGTGCTTGGCATTATTGATTCTCAGGTTAAACAGCTTCAAAAGTGTCAGTGCAATTGCTTACCTGGTATCTGCCTTTCCAACCATGGCTGTCAGCTCTGTGAGGGTGGCGACTCTTGTTCACCAGATGTATTCCTAGTGCCTGGCCCATTGTTGAAGTGAGCTGGGAGAGGCCCTTGCCTCCAGAAACCTCCTGGTCTGCTGAGGCTGCCATCTTAGAGGAATCCTGAGGCCTCTCTCTGTAAGCAGTCCCCAGTGCCCTCAAGGTTGAGAAGACTATAATCACCTCTCTGAAAATGTTCAGGAACAAACTAAGAGAAGCTCCACAAACTTTTGGATATCTCCCCCCATAGGTTAACACATTTCCCCAGACCACATTCTTCTACCGTTCCAGGCATGTGGGTCCAATAATAGTTTGCAGAGTTGCGATTCACTTCATAAACCTCTGTATTCACCTAGTCGGTCTTTTCCAGCTCCTAGAGCTCCACAGCTTTACTTAGTCTCTGTGAAACAGAAAAGATTCTCCTGAGGATCTTCCCATCTCTATAAACCGGGTGGGGGGGTGGGGTGGGGTGGGATATGCCTAGTATCCCCTTCCGGTGCCCCACAGTGTGGGGGAACCACCCCCCACCCTTTGCTGTCTGGGGAGGACTTGGAGTCTAGTTCATTGTAAAACATTACAATTGTATCAACTGTTAGAAACGTGAATAGTCACCGCTTCAACCTCCACGTGCCCATGATCAGCAGACATTTGGAGAAAGGGGGAGATTAAAAAAAGGAACGGAACCAAATTTCCAAATATGTGCTATAAGAATTTATGGAAATAAGAGAACCTTTTCAATTTTCTTTTTTGGGAGAAAACTAAATTTACCTTGGGAAGGGAGGGAGTTCTGTGAGGAAGAAGCCAAAGCAAATTTTCTTCACAGACTTCCTTTCCCACGCAGACTCCCACGTGGCGCTTACTGTGGCCCTTAAATCTGAAAAACCAAGGCAACCTATTTTCTTAGCAACCAGGGAGCCAATCAAAAGCCCAACCAAAGCACCCCATCTAAAATAAAGCCATCACCATGGGCACCATCCAGCTGGTTGAAAATGGGGGAAGTAGACTGATACAAAGCAGCCATCTTGTTCTTGGTGAAATGTTGGGGAATTTTTTTCTATTCCCCAAATGATTTGATTTCATTAATGGATTTGAGTAGGTCTAGGGCAGTAGGAGACACAGTTGTATCCAACCCCACAAAACCAAGACCTGGCCTTTAAGAGTTGTCATGGTGCCAAGTTTTCAGAGTTATGCCTCTTAAAGAACATCCTTCCAGATCAAGGTTCTTGAACTTTAGTGATGCTATCTATTATATTTTATGTTTAATTTGAAGGGATCTCACACCTAGATTGTTGTAGCGGAATGGCTTACTGTGTTTGATCATCCTTTCCCATCTTCGCTTTGTAAAACTGCCTTTGAGCTCCTTGCATCCAGGGATTCCCAGTCTGGTTTTATCAGAGTCCTAGGATCCTGAGGCAGGACCTCAGGGAAGGAAGACTTGGATTACACTGGACTCCGGGCTCCTCTTCCTGCCTCAGCTAGAGCAGCTCCTGGTTTGTCTATTTTATGTATTGGAAGTCAAATAAGAACTTGTTTGAAAAAACGGGTTCTGCTTTTAAAAGAGTAACAGACTAAAGAGACAGAGAGGAGAAAACAAAAGAGAGTAAGAAAAAGGAAAAAAGAAAGAGCTCAAGGGAAGAGGAAGGAGATAGAGAAGGGAAGGGTGAGAGTGGCAGTGGGTAAAAGGGAAGAGAAAGAGAGAGAGGAGAGATGACAAAGGAAGGAAGGAGCAGAGAGGAACGGACATGGTTTCTGCTCCTGACAGCACTGAGAACTCTCGCATCTGCAAGAGCAGAAGAGAGAGCCACATGGTGGCTTGATTGACGATGCAGATTCTGCTGTAAAGAAAATGTATAACAGTAGCAAAGACCTCCATCGCACTTGCTATACACTAGGGTGTTCTGAGGCACTTTATATGTATTTTAGCTCATTTAATTCCCACAGAAAATTGAAATAACTTACTCAGCAATTGTCTGAGCTGATTGAGCCCAAATATGTCTGGCTTCAGAGTGTTCTGCTTCTCTGATAATAGTGTAATGATACAATGTGTATCCACCATTTATGGAGTTACCTTATGGCAGGCCCTGTGCTGTCTGTTGTCACCGCTTAGTGCATAAGCGATGGAGGAAAATTAAGGACTCCTTTAGTCCTTTAGCCTAGATGTCAGTGCCCTTTCAGATGAGGCAGCAGAGGCACAGAGAAGTCAGCGCTTCCTCGCCTGAGATCATACAGTTGTGCATGTTAAAGCCAGTTGAACCAGGGCTGCCATGCTCCTCAAACGGGTGTGTTGAGTTTTATTTATAACTAGCTCATTGTTAACAGAACGTGACCTGGCGCTGATCAGCCTCCTTTTTGCCTTCAAGAGAAGGTAAACTGAGGGAAAGTCTCAGGATAGTCAGCACTCCCCGGCCACCTTCCTTCTCATGTCAATAACAGCAAGACAGACCAGCCAAGCCTAACCCTTTCATTTCCTTCCCAAGACTGAGGGGCTCCCTTTGTTCTTGACTCACTACAGAGCTGGAAGAGTCTCAGAGGAAGTGCCCCCCATGCTGGTATAAATTTGCCAACACTTTTCTCATCTGGGAGTGTCACCCCTACTGGATAAAGCTGAAGGAGATTGTGAACCTGATTGTCATGGACCCTTTTGTGGACCTGGCCATCACCATCTGCATCGTCCTGAACACCCTGTTTATGGCAATGGAACACCACCCTATGACGCCACAGTTTGAACACGTCTTGGCTGTAGGAAATCTGGTAAGATGGAGCACAGCCTTCGGATTGCACCATCTGAACAGGTTTTGCCTGTGGGTAATATTTTTTTTCTGATCCTGAGAGCTGGAGTTTAGTCAAAAAGAAAGTAATAGTTAATTGGAAGACAAATGCTCCCACATATGCCACAGCCCCAGCCGCTTCTGCTAGCTGTTGTGATCCCTTGGCTGTTTTCTCTTTCTGCAGAACTTTGAAGACGTCATTTAGGAGCTCTTGGCAGGCATCCAACCCCGGTGACAGGATGGGAGGCATGGTGCAGTGGGTTGGTTTCAGCAACCTCAGCCAAGGACTTGTGGATGTCTTTCTGTTTCTGCTTCTCACTTTAATTCTGTATGACTCCAGCAAATCACTACCCCTTTCACCTTCAGTAACAACCACTGCAAAATAGGGGAGGTCTTTTAGTATGTTACATGTAATGATAAATTTTCCTACACTGTCATATCTTCATTATTGATACGGGGACTATCTACAGGAAATTTTAAATTCTATGCTGGTCTCCCCACCCAGTCCAACTTCTGAGCTATCATCCAGTTTCTAACCATTAGTTGATCTGCGCCAAATTTATTTTAATGTTGGCTCAAGTCATAAATTTAATTTATATTATTTACATGATAAGTATGCAGTTTAAAAAAGAAATAGATTATACAGTGTATCCAGAAGTCAAGTAGTTGTGATTTGGGGACTATCTTCTTTAGTATAAAAATCAGGAGTTGATTAAATTTTGATAGTAAAAAATTAGTTGGAAAGAATCCTCTAGGTCATCTGGCCTCATTATTCCTTAGAAATTGCACCATGGGCATACCATTCTAGTTGTTACCATGTAATTTTGCATGATCACTGCCTGGTAATTGTTCCTCTCTCTCCCCCTCTCTTTCTTTCTCTCATACACACACAGAGTTTCTACCTTAAGTCTTAATACTCTACCAGTGTGTAATAATAGTGATATCATTTTGACTTCTAATTCCGAAAACATACATGGCAAAAGGGATCCCTTATCTGGTTAGTTGTCATAGCTGATTGTATTCTCTAGTATATATCCAAGATGCTGCTGTAATCTTTCCAATCTCCATGTCTGAGTCAGTGATGCACTTTCAGCCCACCACCGTGTTGGGCAGTTCAATGAAATACCTGTAGTCTTGAAGCAGGACACCCCCATAGACTATTCAGGAGATCTGTTAACCTGCTCTGAAAGGTGCCTGAGGGTCAGCTCGCTGTGTGGTTGACTGACCTCTGGGGCTTGGCCGTCAAGCAGCATTTTTAAGCCAGTCAACAGCATCATGTAGATACACTCTTTATGTTATTGCCCAATGGTTATGTAATGAAAAATACTACTTGATCAATTTTGTTGTTGATAGTGATGGTATATTTTCTATAGTTTTTTTTTTTTTCTAAAGTCTTTACTTGCTTTTGGCAGAATCAGTCCTTGATTTTTACTGCCATACTACCAACAGAATTGCCTGAGACTGGGCCAGCAAATAACATCGTTTTTTCCTTCTCGAAAACCTAGAAATTAGGGTCAAACCGAAATTAGAGTTGTGAGCATTCAGACAACTTTGCTCAGAATCATCAGTGAAAGAAAGGGAGAAAGGAGAAGGTCAGCAGCTGATGTTCAGGGAGCCAAGCCAACCAGTCCAAGCTCTAAAATGGGAAAGCACTCCAGGGGCATAGTCTTCAAGGGAGAAGTAATGTATGAGGAGCAGTGGGGCCAGAGAGCAGTGAATGGCCCAGGATACTCTGGACGCAGGGGGAGGGAGAGCTAGCAGGAAGGGTACCCAGACTGGGGGCATTGGGTAACTGAGGGGGAAATGGGGATGACTGAGCAAGGAACAGGGTGGAGTTTAAAATCAAGAGCTCTGTTGTGGACACATTCAGTCAGTTCAGTCACTCATTTGTGTCCCAATTCTTTGTGACCCCATGAACTACAGCACGCCAGGCCTCCCTGTCCATCACCAACTCCCAGAGTCTACCCAAACTCATGTCCATTGAGTCGCTGATGCCATCCAACCATCTCATCCTCCATCGTCCCCTTCTTCTCCTGCCCCCAATCCCTCCCAGCAACAGGGTCTTTTCAAATGAGTCAGCTCTTCACATCAGGTGGCCAAAGTATTGGGAGTTTCAACTTCAACATCAGTTCTTCCAATGAACACCCAGGACTGATCTCCTTTAGGATGGACTGGTTGGATCTCCTTGCAGTCCAAGGAACTCTCAAGAGTCTTCTCCAACACCACAGTTCAAAACCATCAATTCTTTGGTGCTCAGCTTTCTTTATAGTCCAACTCTCACATCTATACATGACTACTGGAAAAACCATAGCCTTAACTAGACGGACCTTTGTTGACAAAGTACTGCTCTCTGCTTTTTAATATGCTGTCTAGGTTGGTCATAACTTTCCTTCCAAGGAGTAAGCATCTTTTAATTTCATGGCTGCAGTCACCATCTGCAGTGATTTTGGAGCCCAGAAAAATAAAGTCAGCCACTGTTTCTACTGTTTCCCCATCTATTTGCCATGAAATGATGGGACTGGATGCCATGATTTTAGTTTTCTGAATGTTGAGCTTTAAGCCAACTTTTTCACTCTCCTCTTTCACTTTCATCAAGAGGCTCTTTAGTTTTTCTTCACTTTCTTCCATCAGAGTTGTGTCATCTGCATATCTGAGGTTATTGATATTTCTCCCAGCAATCTTGATTCCAGCTTCTGCTTCTTCCAGCCCAGCGTTTCTCATGATGTACTCTGCATAGAAGTTAAATAAGCAGGGTAACAATATGTACCCTTGAGTCGTACATACTCCTTTTCCTATTTGGAACCAGTCTGTTGTTCCATGTCCATTTCTAACTGTTGCTTCCTGACCTGCATACAGGTTTCTCAAGAGACAGGTCAGGTGGTCTGGTATTCCCATCTCTTTCAGAATTTTCCACAGTTTATTGTGATCCACACAGTCAAAGGCTTTGGCTAGTCAATAAAGCAGAAGTAGATGTTTTTCTGGAACTCTCTTGCTTTTTCGATGATCCAGCGGATGTTGACAATTTGATCTCTGGTTCCTCTGCCTTTTCTAAAACCAGCTTGAACATCTGGAAATTCACAGTTCACATATTGCTAAAGCCTGGCTTGGAGAATTTTGAGCATTACTTTACTAGTTTGGACATATTAGCTGTGAAAAAGCCATTGATTTCTGCCCAGAAATGTTTTGCGTCTATAAAATGAGAGTAATACCACGTCATCAGTATTTGAGAGGATAAAACGAGAACCCGTACAGAAATTTTGGAAATAGTGAAAAGTACTCTTCATACTTAGGAACTGTGTAAGTGTAGTTCAGTAGGAGAATTTTCAAAGACTTGGAGATGTGGTTACAGCCTTTGACTGAACCTGAGAGTAAGAGAACAACAACCAAAAAAAGATGGATGAACTAGCTCATGAAATAGATTAGGACCTTCTCCTGTGGTTGGACAGAGAGGCTTTTTCCAGAGCTGGGACAGTGAATTGGGTTGTGTTTGTACATGGATGTACACTGTTGTGTTTGTCCTTGGATGTTTTTGAGGGCAGATGAGAGCAGCAGTCTATAAATTAGCAATCCCTGTCTCTTCTAGCCTCTCCCTAAGAAAAACTGTTCGTAGTAGGCGGAAGCATAAAGGTAATTCCATCCAGCCCCCGTGTTTATAGAGGGAATTGAAGCCAGGGAGGCTACGTGACTTTTGTATTGTTTAGGAGGTAAATGTAATCGTTCTTTTCCTGCCTTTTTGTTGTTGTTTTGGTAACCATTTGAACACAATAGTGAGTTTATAAGGTTGCTTTTTAAACAACCTCAGTCTTCCAGAAAAGTTTCAAGTGCAGTGTAAAAAACTTATCTTTTGAGAGTAAGTTGCTGATGTAGCCTGTCACCCCGGAATACTGTAATGTGTGGTTTTTAAAAATTATTTATTTATTTTTATTTATCTATCGTGTATCTGGCTGAGCCAGGTCTTAGTTGCAGCACCCAAGATTGTCCGTCTGTGTTGCTGTGTGCAGGATCTTTTTTTTTTTCTCTTCAGTTGAGGCATGTAGAGTCTGGTTCCCTGACCAGGGGTCAAACCTGGGCCCCTTGTGCTGGGAGCAGAGAGTCTTAGCCACTGGACTACTGGGGAAGTCCTTGTAGTGAACATTTTTATAAACAAGTACATTCTCCTACAGAACCATGATATAACTGCCAAAATCAGGAAATCACCATGTATATTACCATCAAATTCTCAGGCCCATTCAGATTTTGCTGGTAAGCCCAATAATGTCTTTATACAAAAAAAAATGACATTCCAGAGTTACTCTTGAGTTTAGTTATCATGTCTCTTTAACCTTCTTCACCCTGAGAGAGCTCCTCAGTCTTTCTTTGACTTCTATGACCTTGATACCTATGAGGATGACTGTCCAGTTATTTTGTAGAATTCCCTCAATCTGGCTTTGTCTGATGCCTCCTCCTGATCAGACTCAGGTCATGCATTCGGCAAGACTGTCGCCCAGGTGAGGCTGTTGTTTTCTCATTTCGTCTACCAGGTGGCACGTGATTTCCATGTGTCCCATTTCTGCCCTTGGTCCCTTGGTCATTTGATTGAGGAGGTTCTGCCAGGCTTCTCCCATGTACAGTTACTTTTTCTGTTTATAATTAATAAGTGTTCATGAGAAAGACACTTTGAAACTATCTAAACTTACTGCTTTTCATTAAACTTTTGATTCATTCCTTTATTATATCTGTATGGACTCCCAGTTTTCAGTTTTATTCAGTGGGTTTTAATCCATTATTATCCTGTGTGTAGATGTTTAAACCATTCCTGATTTGGCAGTGGGAGTCCCTTCAAGGTAGCTTTCATGTCCTTTCAACAAGTCCTCATTGCCTTGTTTTCTCAGAAATATTCCAGGCTAACTTTATATTTTTTTTCCTGTCTCAGGCCTGGAATCTGCCATTTCTCAAGCAACTCTGATTGTTTTTAGTGGAAATTGACGTTTAGAAATCAACATCTGTTGGAGCAATACGCATAGCTGGGCCCTTTCTGTACAGGGCTCACCACTTATTCTAACCTAGCATTACAGGACTCATTCTTTCTTCTTTCTATGTTTATAACTCCTTCTCCCACAAAAAGAAACCTGGTTGCCACTATCCTTAGTATATTATTTCATTTAAAAAAAGAAAGAGCCACTGTTACCTCTTGCAACATGGGGGTCCCCCCTCCCCCTGGTCAGACCCTGAGTCCCCATGCCAGGCCCTCCAGCATCAGCAGCCAAGTGTCGTCTGCTTGGACCCCCCCTCACACTTCTCAGGCCCCGTCCTCCCTGCCAGGCGGCCCCCACGCAGCCTTATTTCCCCTGCCCCACTTGAGCTCAGACGCCTCAGAGCGGGCCTTCCCCTGCAAGCGCTCTTCCGCACCCAGAAGCTGTCTGCATCCTGCTTGGGTTCGGACACCCCACGCCGGGGCACCATTCCTTGCCCTGCTCAGGCGCTGACTCTCCGCTCCGTGCTGCCCGTCTGCAGGGACACTTCCCACCCCTCACACACTCACTCTCAGGCTGTCCTTCCACCCAGAAGTTCTGCTCGCCCACCTCTGTAGCTGGCTCCAGGCAAACACACACACGATCACACACACACACACGATCACGCAGAAATACACGCTGTCCTTCTCCCCAGAAGTTCTTCTCTCTCAGCACTCACACTCACACTCACACACACACACACACGATCACGCAGAAATACACGCTGTCCTTCTCCCCAGAAGTTCTTCTCACTCAGCGCTCACACTCACACTCACACACGATCACGCAGAAATACACGCTGTCCTTCTCCCCAGAAGTTCTTCTCACTCAGCGCTCACACTCACACTCACACACGATCACGCAGAAATACACGCTGTCCTTCTCCCCAGAAGTTCTTCTCACTCAGCGCTCACACTCACACTCACACACGATCACGCAGAAATACACGCTGTCCTTCTCCCCAGAAGTTCTTCTCTCTCAGCACTCACACTCACACACACACACACAATCACACACACACACACACGATCACGCAGAAATACACGCTGTCCTTCTCCCCAGAAGTTCTTCTCACTCAGCACTCACACTCACACTCACACACACACACACGATCATGCAGAAATACACGCTGTCCTTCCTCCCCAGAAGTTCTTCTCACTCAGCACTCACACTCACACTCACACACACACACACGATCACACACACACACACGATCACGCAGAAATACACGCTGTCCTTCTCCCCAGAAGTTCTTCTCATTCAGCACTCACACTCACACTCACACACGATCACGCAGAAATACACGCTGTCCTTCTCCCCAGAAGTTCTTCTCACTCAGCACTCACACTCACACACACACACACGATCATGCAGAAATACACGCTGTCCCTCCTCCCCAGAAGTTCTTCTCACTCAGCACTCACACTCACACACACACACTCACACACACACTCACCCACCTCTGTAGCTTGCTCTAGATCCTAGGCCACCTCCCCCTCAGCTTGCTTGGCCCTGACACCCTTCACTGGGCCACCTCTCTGAATGGCTGGATGCCATCAACCCACTCGGGCCCTGACACCCCTCCCCAGGCTGGCCTCCCCCTGGGGATGCCGTGTCCACCTGCCTAAGCTCTCACTCTCTCTGCCAGGTCTCCCACCCCCTCCATGGGGGACGCCCTCCCATCCGCCTTAGGTTTCAACACCCTGTGCTGGGCAAGCATGCAACACAAATACTCTCCTTATCCTGCTCAGACATGGGACTGTCCCCCCCGGAGTGGACACTCTCCTTGGCTTGCATCGGCTCTGACAGCCCACACTAAGCCACCCTCCTGCACAGATGCCCTGCTTGGGCCCCAGCACCTGACACCGAGCCCCGCTCCATGTGGATAGGGCTTTAGGACCGGATCTTTTGAGGGGAAGGAGTATGGAAGGAAGGGCAAAATGTTCACCTGACACGTAAGTGTAATTTCTGAGATTCTGAGCCAAAAAGGAAAAACAAGAAGTTGTTTTCTCCTCCTTCACCAAATACACATGAATGTTATGGTTTCTTAACTGCAGCTTAAACTAAGTTTTCAGCCGAATGGAATCCTTTTCATATTGTCATTTTTCTTCCCTGTAGTCCCTTATGTATACCTCTTTTTAAAGGGAGAGAGGACTCCAGGCCCCTTGAAAGGGTCTTAGTGACCCCAGGGATCCCCAGCTATACAGATGGCAGCTGCACTAGAACATAAATTCTGAGGTGAATATTGGATGACAGTCACAAGAGTGACATTTATATACAGTTGTTGATGGCATCAAAAGAATAACCTTGAATCTGCTCTTCTCCATTTTTCAAAAAAGTAATTCCTTCATACAGCCAACAGCTACAAATTTATATTTACCCAAACTCCAAACAAGGGCAGCCCACTGTGTGGGCTGAAGGCATGAAGCAACATGCCTCTGTCACAGGCATTTCTTTTTTTTTTTTTAATGTTTATTTATTTATTGGGCTGTGCCAGGTCTTAGCTGCAGCACGCAGGGTATCTTTTTTTCTTTTTTCTTTGTTTTTTTTCAGTTGTGGCATGCAGAATCTAGTTCACTGCCTGACTAAAGGGTTGTACCAGGGCTCCCTGCATGAGGAGTGTGAAGTCTTAGCCACAGAACCACCAGGGAAGTCCCTATCACAGGTGTTTCTACCAGGTATCTGGAGGCCCAGCCTCCCATTAAAAGGCAGCAGCACAGAACTGCATCTTCTCTCAGGAACCAGAATTCACAGGATAGCTGTTCTGAGGTTCATCACCCTGTTCTGTTACTGAGCACTTTCTGTGTGTTCACCAAGAACCAATGGGACAGCAGATTCAGTTTCTACTTAGTGTGCGTTAAGTGCGTTAATGTTTCTAAGTAGAGAAATCTTTGATTTAGCTGACGCTAAGGGCAAAATGTGTGTCAAGAGATCATTTGATTAGCTGCCCCTACTTGACTGACCTCATAAAGAGTAATATTCCATCTGTACACACTTAGCTTGCACTATGAACTTTTGATTTAAGTTGACCAGATCTCTTCAGGGAGTATTTTCTTTCAATTTTAGAATACTGCATCTTCAGTTTAAAAAAGTGCATGCAAGTGTGCTTATTCATTCAGCTGTGTTCAACTCTTTGCAACCCTATGGACTGTAGCCCACCAGGCTCCTCTGTCCATGGGATTCTCCAGGCAAGAATACTGGAGTGGGTTGCCATTTCCTTCTCCAGGGGATTTTCCTGACCCAGGGATCGAACCTGCGTGTCTTGCATTGGCAGGCAGGTTCTTTACCACTGAGCCACCTGGGAAGTGAAAGTCACTCAGTCGTGTCCGACTCTTTGCCACCCCATGGACTGTACAGTCCATGGCATTCTCTAGGCCAAAATACTGGAGTGAGTAGCCTTTCCCTTCTGCAGGGGATCTTCCCAACCCAGGGATCGAGCCCAAGTCTCCCACATTGCAAGGGGATTCTTTACCAGCTGAGCCACAAGGGAAGCCCAAGAATACTGGAGTGGGTAGCCTATCCCTTCTCTAGCGGATCTTCCCCACCCAGGATGGGGGAAGCTTAGAAATGTATATGGAAACCAAAAATTTCCAAACCAGTTGTCCCTTTTGTTTTATTTTCATCAAGTCATTCAGTTTTGTTTTTGCTACACATTAATTCAGTGTCTTTCCAAACAAGTATAATCTAAGTATTTTTCACTATTTTTAATTCTGACCTCAGACCATATCTCTGAAGTTTTTCTCAAGCCCCTTCATATGTAAACTTGGTAGCCAAGTGGTTACAGTTATTAACTTATTATGAATTTTAAATCTGATGCATATAAAGTCCTCTCCTCTAAAAACAGGATATTCAGTGATAGTCAGATATTACATGGTCAGCCTAGAATGAGAGTATTGATCTTGTCAAAACTGGTGTACATGGGATTTTGCTTTCTGCCTACACATTATGCTACTAAGGTCCTCAGGATACAGAAGGCATTGGGGAAACACGATGCTCTGAAAGGCAGAAAGGTAGGAGTGAGTCAGGTAGCAGAGAGAAGAAATCATTCTTGTACCCAGTAAGCTCCAAATCTAGAACAATGATTACATCCTTGATTATCATATTGAAAAAATCTGAAGGAAGCACCAGAGTCTCCAACAATGAGAGAATTCTTTGAGGATGTATTTACCTAGTAGAATATTATACAAGCAATGAAAGTGGGAACTAGGAAGACTGTGTTGCAACATGAATGGAGTCATGATAAGTGAAAAATACATGTTAAGTGAAATGAGTCATGATAAATCAAGATAAGTGAAAAGCCAAGATATTATGTAGTCTGTGGTTTTAAACTCTGACAAAATATTTTTATGCATCTGAAAAAAAAGGAGTACATTAAAATAATCCTTGTATGCAAGGCAGTGATACTATTTCTCTAATATTTTGCACACTTTAAGCAATGTTCTGTTGCTTTTACCATTTAAAATAAGAAGCTCTGCAGTATATGTCTGCATAATACTGAAGACACATAATGTTAAATCAGGAATAATGCTGTATTTTTGTAATTAGAACACAGTGATTTTTTTTTTTTTTTGGGTCAGTATCCCAAATGTGGCATACACATTCAAATGACTTCTGACCCTTTAGGAGTCACCTGTGTGATATTGCTGATTGCTTAGAATAATTTTTTAACTGCTCTCTTGACCAATATGAATTGGGTAGTTCTGGCAACAAAGATGGGAACATTTCCTCTTCATTCAAGAGGAAAATAAGACTTTCCTGCATCGGGTGGAGTTGTCAGGGGACATCCAGGTATTGATGTCCTCAGAGGCAGAATTTAGTGAAGGCTGATGCTTGTGGCTTCTTGGACATGCCGTATTCAAAAATAATGATAGAGGCATCTTCTTTCTATTATTTCTTTTTCTTACCCCTGCCTTCCCTCTCTTTAGGTTTTCACTGGAATTTTCACAGCGGAAATGTTCCTGAAGCTCATAGCCATGGATCCCTACTATTATTTCCAAGAAGGTTGGAACATTTTTGATGGATTTATTGTCTCCCTCAGTTTAATGGAACTGAGTCTAGCAGACGTGGAGGGGCTTTCGGTGCTGCGATCTTTCCGATTGGTATTCCATATTTCTCCAATTTCTTTTTTACATTTTCCTGTCTTGTAGCTACTAGGAAGAATTTTGTATAAGTTAATCTGATGATTTTACAAAATTCTTAGCTGTATTCTGCTCCCAGTTGCAGTTGACTGTCTATTGGTTTATCAACTAAAATATTGAAAAACTTTTCTGCTAATTACCTAATATAGAAAGTAGGTTTTTTTAATCAGTCAACAAACATAAACCAATTTTTTTTGAAGTTCCTCAGAAAATAATGGTTAATCTAAAAGATGAAGAAGGATTCACAAGAGCTATTCTGAGGTCTGATTTGAATTCGCTGGTGAGCCCATTTCTTTCTCTGAACATCTCCCTGAAATGGCAAAAATTTCTCCCTTTTCCAGAGATGGCTCATATCTTCTATCATGGTGACCCCTTCCAGAAAATGAGAATAAAATAATGTTTTTTAAAGTTATGTTGAAATTAGTTGTTGAACACAGATCTTTAGCTAAGAAGGATTTTTTTAATGTATTTGAAAAAATTAGTGTTAAAATTACTAACATGCCTCTGAAAGTATTAACAGTTAACAATATCCTCAGAATAGCTTCCCATGAAGCATAGGCATGAGTGATGTCCTGATTGAGTCCCTTGAGAAGCTGAGTTACCTTGAGGGTATCCCACTCAGACAGAGCATCAGAAATGGCTTAGATTTGTTTCTCTTATTGGGAAAATACCTAAGCACTCACAGCTGAAAGGATTTAAAGATATTCAGCTTATCTAAGAAAGAGAATTGGATTAGAGTGAAACTGTTTATAAAACAGAAATCTCATTCAGTCCAAGTCACAAATAACATCTGTCTCATTTCTGGAACCTCTGCTTACTGGTCTTTGTTTAGGATCCAGCCAACAGTAGACTTTTTGAGAGTAGTTCTTGCTATTTAGAAGATAAGATGAAGAATTAAGTGATAGAAGCATTATCACTAATACTCTGAATAAATTAACAGCCAGTCAGAATGGTGAAAAACTGTGAGAGACCCAGATTACCTACAGAGCATCACCTGCTAAATCTTGAACTCTCAGATAAAACTCAGATTTTCAGTAGGGAAAAAAAATTGTCCAAATCAGCGTGGTTGCCTTCTACCAGAATTCCTGTTACATCCAGTTATACATGTGTAGTTATTAACTTAAGACATATGATGGTGATCTCTGTTCATGGGCTTTATTCATTATAATTCTCAGCTGGTTAGTCAAGACCTTATAATCATTCATCACAGAATACAAAAATTTTCTGATTAACAGATACCAAAAGTTCTATCCTCGGAATTAATATCAGTGTAGTCCCTTTTCATAAGGTTTTTGGCATATTGGAACTGCCCCTTGGAAGCTGTGCTTTTCCTTCCAGTTAGTCCAAGCATGTCACAGAGTTTCGTATCAGCCATTACCTGTTTATTGGCAGAGATATGTAGAATTTTTAAGAGAAATATGTAGAATTTTAAAATCCTTGCTATTTTAAAGAGACAGATGATTTATTCTCACTGTCCTTACCAAGCTCATCTTTTGGTTAACTACAAGTCACATTTTCCTTAATACAACTGCTGAGAAGTCAAGGGAAAATCAATAGGAAAAGGATATGTTCATGTATGGATTTTTAAAAGGTGGATTGACCTAGAGACTAATTCAGGGACTAGAGGTAGTATTCTTGGTTCTTAGTTCTAAATCTTTCACTTATTTTACAGTTAATTAGTTTTCCTTCATCTGTGCCTCAGTTTCTCTCAGTTTTAAGATACTGTTAGAAAACCCTGAGAATTTTCCAAGGGTGCTCAGTAAATGTAATGATCTTACTAATTTAGTATGTTTTTATTGTAGCCATGTGATAAGAATAAATTAATTGAATTTCATTTGGGTTTCTTTTCTGTAGCTCCGAGTCTTCAAATTGGCCAAATCCTGGCCCACCCTGAACATGCTGATCAAGATTATTGGAAATTCAGTGGGTGCCCTGGGCAACCTGACCCTTGTGCTGGCCATTATTGTCTTCATCTTTGCCGTGGTGGGGATGCAGCTCTTTGGAAAGAGCTACAAAGAATGTGTCTGCAAGATCAACCAGGACTGTGAACTCCCTCGCTGGCACATGCATGACTTTTTCCATTCTTTCCTCATTGTCTTTCGAGTGTTGTGCGGGGAATGGATCGAGACCATGTGGGACTGCATGGAGGTGGCTGGCCAGGCCATGTGCCTCATTGTCTTCATGATGGTCATGGTTATTGGCAACTTGGTGGTTAGTACTAACTTGTACATCTTTTTGTTCTTTGCTCTGAGCATTTTATTCTTGACCCAGAAGCCCAGTCTACTTAGTCCTTCCATGTCTGTGTTGGTCTTTATTCTTTCTTGGCCCAGGAACCCTAAGGTACAAAGGAAAAGAGACTGCTGTTTTCAGAGGCCTACTGGGTCATGAGCCTCCCAACCTGTCAACCTTTTCACAGCTGTGGAAACAAAATTCATCAAAGTTAAGGCACTTTTCCAAAGTCCCACAGCTAATAAATGTCAGGGCTTATATTAGATTATTGAGTTCGAAATCTATGGTCTTTCTACTATTAAAAAAAACCTCAGAACTTCTCAGCCTGATCTTTTAGGCTGGATAATTATTTGTTGTGGAACTGTCCTGTATATTGTAAGGTGTTTGCAGTATCCCTGGCATCTACTCTTTACTGGCCAGTAGTGACCCCCAGCCCAAGTTGTAAAAACCAAAGGATGTCTCCAGACATTACCAACTGTCCTCAGGGGGCAAAATTGCCCTCCTTTGAGAACCATGGATCTAAGCCATCCTAGGATTTTATCTGATGTTTATAAATTTCAAATCACTTCCTTGCTTCACTCTATCCACCTGCTGTCTCTTGCCTCTGTAAATAGAATGTTCACCAACAGAAATTAACACCTTGTTTCTCAAAGTGTCATCCAAGGACTAGCAGCAGTGAGAACGTTCAAGGGTGTACTAGAGATTCAGAATCTTAGGCCACTCCCCACAATCAGTATCTGCATTTTTAACAAGATCCCCAGGTGATCCACATGCACGTTATAGTTTGAGAAGCACTCATCTTTCAAATTAGGCCAAAGCCCACCTGCAAGTGTACAACAAGGAGGGCTGGAAGAAGACACACTCAGATGACCCCTTATAAGCTCATCCAGAGTGGTTCTCTTCCTTTTTCTGCCATAGAAAAGCATATGCCAGTAGGGCATTCCTACTCATCAACCTCTGAACCAGCCTTGCCCACCCTAGTTTTTCATTGGACCTATAAAAACAGGCAACATAATGTTTCTTAGTCACTCCCACTCTCCACTCCCAGCCATCTTTCCCTCAGTCCTGATCCCTCCAGTCTTCCCACTCCTTCAGTGAAGACAGCTACTGCCTACAGCTGCTGTCCATTGTAGAGTCAACATCACCAGCCCTGACCTCCCATTTCTCTAGTCTCCTGTGCTCAGTAGTCTCAGGGACATCTTCCCATGACTGGTTGCAGACACCTGAGCACACAACAAAATCCACTATTATTTCTGCCTGTGATGACACTTTTCCCAGTTTCCCCTTGGCTCAATCCTTCTGCCCATGTCATCGCTAGGAATCTGTAAGTCTCTTGTGACTTTCCTCTCCATTCCAGGTAAATATCTGATGTCTTTCATATCTTTCTTCTTAGCATTTCTATATATGCATCTTTCTTTGTAGTATTTCTGAGATCTGCCCCTTCCTTTCCATTTCTGCAACCCATCTTGTATTTCTAAAAGTCCAAGGAAGACCACCTTCGTTACAGTCACCTTGAGTTTCACTCATTAAAAAAGGCCAAGTCCCAGGACCTACACCAGATCTACTGAATCAGAATCTTTCCGGTGAGACCAAGGAGATGCTCGTTTTTAACAAGCATCCCACTCCAGAAGATTCTTCTGCTTGCTAAGATTTGAGATTCCTATAGCCTGATCCAGACCCTTATCAACTCATGGAAGTAACAGCCTCCTAACTCCTAACCCTCCCCTCCCAACCCACCATGTGTGTACCTAGTAGGAATGACTTTCTCAAATCTCTGTCATCATCTGTGACTCCTTTATTCAAGGACCAATAGTGGATCCAATTAAAACTCAAATATTTCAGACTGGCCTTCAAAGCCCTCATCAGCTGACCTCCATTTAACCGACTGTATTCCTCTGTAATGCTGCAAGTAGCCAAGGTAACCCATATGTAGAGTTCATATATCATTTCTGTTTCTCCCACCTTGCACATATGATTACTTCCACCTGAAATGTATGCCTTACTCTTCTTCAGAAGTATGACAAAGTAAGGGCCAAGTGTAAATCCAGAAGTGAACATCTCTCCCACTTTTCAAAAGTAAGTCTTAAGAAAAATAAATTAATCTTAATGCCCAACGTGGTTTTTAAAAAAAAAAAGAAAAAAACATAAATGAAGCTTGTTTCTAATGGCCTGACACTTACATATAGAATGCAAAAGTCAGCATCACTCTCTTACTAGAGCTACTTAATTATGATAAATGTTAGGAAAACAAAATCAATTCTTAAAATAGGATAGCGTGGAATATATTTTAGTTCCACCTTCTAGATTTGTTATATGAAAGTCTGGTTCTCCAAGCCTAATTTTTTTCTCACCTGGGTCCTCCAGGCCATCTGCTGCTCAAGAACACATTGCATCTAGGCATTCTTTGATCCTTCTCAATAATCCATGCCCACCTTTTTGTTTGTATTTTTGGAGAATTTTCTCCCAAAATGGATATAACCTTTGCTTTTTCTGATTATAAGAAAAACAGTATGTTTTGAAGTACATATATATGTGAATAGCACTACAAAAGAACCAAAAAAAGGAGTACTAAACTCGTTGTATTACAACCAAAGCCAAACAAAATATACACATAGTGACATGAGCACTTAAAACACCATGTGAGTGAAACAGTACACAGTAGAAACTCTCGAGTCTTTTACGTAAGCCTGTGAGCTTGCAGTTTACAGCCCCAGCTTAGTGGATAACTGTACCCAACACCATTCTCCATTCACTCGCCATTTTCCTAATGCTCCTGGTGCAGGTGCTGAACCTGTTTCTGGCCTTGCTTCTGAGCTCCTTCAGTGCTGACAACCTGGCCGCCACGGACGATGATGGAGAAATGAACAACCTGCAAATCTCCGTGATCCGGATCAAGAAGGGCGTGGCGTGGATCAAGCTGAAAGTGCATGCCTTCATGCAGGCCCATTTCAAGCAGCGCGAGGCCGACGAAGTGAAACCTCTGGACGAGCTGTACGAGAAGAAAGCCAACTGCATCGCCAACCACACCGGCGCCGACATCCACCGGAACGGTGACTTCCAGAAGAACGGCAATGGCACCACCAGCGGCATAGGCAGCAGCGTGGAGAAGTACATCATCGACGAGGACCACATGTCCTTCATCAACAATCCCAACCTGACCGTGCGAGTGCCCATCGCTGTCGGCGAGTCCGATTTTGAGAACCTAAACACCGAGGACGTCAGCAGCGAGTCGGATCCTGAAGGCAGCAAAGATGTAAGGTCCCAGCCGATAAACCTGTCTTGATCCTGTGTAAGAACAAATGGTCAGCCTTGGGACTGGTCCAGCCGTGGGCCTGGCAGAGAGATTCTGGAATAGCCAACTCTCAACTTTGAACTTTTGGCCTTCCCTGGGGGCTCAGACAGTAAAGGATCCGCCTGCAATGCAGGAGACCTGGATTCAATCCCTGGGTCAGGAGGATCCCCTGGAGAAGGGAATGGCCACCCACTCCAGTATTCTGGCCTGGAGAATTCTGTGGACAGAGGAGCCTGGCAGGCTGCAGTCCATGGGGTTGCAAAAGAGTTGGACAAGACTGAGCAACTTTCACTTTAAATTCACTTTCAACTTCGAGAACCAGTTCTACCCACCCCCAGACGAGCTGGATTCCTGAGATGTTCCCAGATCTGCCTCTGTTGCTTCTGAGTCATCTGGATCAGAGGCTGGAGGAAACCCTCGCATACTTCCCTGCCGTCAGTCTGTCTGAGCTGTACCACTGAGACCAGCTATAGGCACCTTCTGCTTAGGGAGGATCCCTGTCATCCGTGAGCAGGCTGTGATGTTGTACCCCCTCCTGACAGGTTCTGAAGGCCCTGTGGTAATTGTTAGCCCATGGTGAATTGGATGAGGAGGAGTTTCTAGCCTGAATTGTAGCTGCTGCATCATCAGTGCCAAAGGCAGCACAGTCAGCATAGAGCAGACGTACTGCTGTAGCATTGCTTCTCTCCTTTCTCCTTATGTATCTAGAAACTGGACGACACCAGCTCCTCTGAAGGAAGCACCATTGACATCAAACCAGAAGTTGAAGAAGTCCCTGTGGAGCAGCCTGAGGAGTACTTGGATCCAGATGCCTGCTTCACGGAAGGTGAAAGGGGGCCAGGAGAGCGGATGGCATGTAGCACTTGCATGGCTTGCAGACAACGTTTATGCTAGGGTCAGTGGTTGGCCGGGGAGAGGGGGGCTCTGTGGGTATCTGCAGGAACTTTGTTCCCCCCCTCATCAGTTTCAGGGAGGTTGATACCATTTTCCCCATTTGATTCTCAGCTGTAACAAGTTTTTATTCTCAAACTTTTGTTTGTCCATTTTTCTCGACATCAGCCCCAAGACTTCCACTGTGTCTGCCTCCTGACTACCCTCTTCTCCTCCCTCTCACTGCTTCTTTATCGGATAGCTTCCCATCACCGGAGGGCCTTGCCCTGGCTGCCTGGCAGCATAGCCTCAGCCCCACCACCCTCTCCACTTCTGAGTCAGCCGCTGAACTGTTGTGCTGTGTGGTGGGGCAGCACCTGGGGGGCCTTGGGAGAAGAAGGGGAGGGCGTGTCTGGGCGGGGCATGTCCCACAATCTGATCTGCCTCTCCCACCGGTGCCAGGTTGTGTCCAGAGATTTAAGTGCTGCCAGGTCAACATTGAGGAAGGACTGGGCAAGTCTTGGTGGATCCTACGGAAAACCTGCTTCCTCATCGTGGAGCACAACTGGTTCGAGACCTTCATCATCTTCATGATTCTACTCAGCAGTGGTGCCCTGGTGAGGTCCGGGGGAGAATTTGCTGGGGGATTGACTGGGCAGGGGGGTAGGGACTAGCAGGAAAGACTGGATGGGCCTAAGCCCAGTTTTTCTAATAACACAGCTTGGCTGTAGACCAAGAGTAACAATCTACTCCAGTGCTTCGGGCTGGTGTTTTGAGCCCTGGGGATTAGAATTCACACTTGTCTGTATCTTCATCCTAGACCTCAGCATGATCCCTCTTGAGTCCAAGACCCCTTTTCATCAGGATAAGAATACAAATGACCAAGTATCTTCACTGCTTAGCTTGCCTCATTCAAAGCAACTTCCCTTTCTTCCCTAATATCCCTGATTCACAAAGGACCACATGTTATATGGTTCAGTTTATACAAAATGTCCAGAAGGTGCAGGTCTGCAGAGACAGAAAGCAGATTGGTGGTTGCCAGGACTAGGGGGAGATTGGGAGACTAGAGCGTGACAGCTGGAGGGTGTGGGGTTTCCTTGGAGGTTAATAAAAATATTCTAAAATCGACTATGGTGATGAATATATGACTCTGAATGCATTAAGAGCTATTGTGCTATAAACTTTAAATAGATGAATTATGAGGGATGAAAATGACATCTCAAGAAAACTTTTTTACAAAGAAAAGCCACGTGTAGCAAGGGGTAGAGGGAAGGAAGATGGGGAGCTGATGACCGGCCAGCACAGGTGGGAAGGCTGCCAGGGGCTGCGGGAGTGGCGGGTGGTACTTCCGTGTTGCCTATTTCTCTGTAGGCACTATAGGCAGCTGCTGCCTCTCTTCCAGGCCTTTGAGGACATCTACATCGAGCAGAGGAAGACCATCCGTACCATCCTGGAGTACGCTGATAAAGTCTTCACCTACATCTTCATCCTGGAGATGTTGCTCAAGTGGACAGCCTATGGCTTCGTCAAGTTCTTCACCAATGCCTGGTGCTGGCTGGACTTCCTCATCGTGGCCGTACGTGTCCTGCTTTCTACTTCCCTCCGCTGCCAGCAGGAAAACAAAAACAGGGACTGTCTTTCCTCTAATGGCTGGAGTTGCCTGGGGCCCAGGGGATAGCCCGATAGGACGTTTGGGTTCTCTTCGGAGCACTCAGGTGCTGACTTGGGAAGCGACCCTGAAGTCCCCATATTTGCTCCAGGGCCTAAGTCACCAGTTCACTAGTGGTTTGACCTAGAAGTTTCTGAGATTAGGAATGGGAAGAGAAATCATTGGTGTCCAAGCTTTGTTATTAGACTGGGAACAGGAAGGTTCTGGCCCCAAACCAGCAGTGTTGTCCTCCTTCTGCTGCCAGGAGAGAGCTGAGAGGATGGGGCCGGTGGTGGTGGGATCTAAGTAGACTCTCCTGCTGACCGTCCCCAGGTACACTCCCATCCATCTCAAGTCTTCATACCAGACTCATCCGAGCAAATCTGTCAAGGAGAGGAAAGAACGCAAAAGAGACCCTCCCCCGACTCCTATTCCTTCCCACACATGGCTATTTCCACAGTGGTGATCAAACTTAAAAAGTCCTTTTTTCCTCCAGGTTTCGAGACCATCTCCATGGCTCAGTGGTCTTTACCTGCTGTGTTATTTTTCAGGGTGAAGCCACGTCACCTGTAACTATTTCTCACTCCACCAGGAACTGTTCCTTATTGGGCTTTCTAACCATGATGACTGCTTCTTATTCTGTCTGATCACTGAAGCTTTTTTCTCCTAGTCAAATCAGCATTTGAATGAGAACGAATGGGAATTTCAGGAGCAGGGCTGAAGATGACTTCACATCCTTCTGAGGGCGGAGAAGGGGAGTGTTTGGCAGCTGGGTTGGTCCATTTAAAATAGGTTTCATTGGTGAACCACCTATGGAGCTCCTCTGGGCTGGCACGAAGCAGCACAGAAGTCAGAGGCACCTGGCACTCCGCACCAGGGTGGTCTCTGCTGGGTTAATGCACTCCTTTCCCAACATAGCATCCTCGACTCCTTCCAAGAGCTGGCACTGTGCTCCAATGAGGTGAGAAGGTCACTGCCCTTACAGCGAACAAGGGCGGTCTTGCCCCAGGGTGGCCGGCATGGGCGCCTCCTAGCCAGAGGTGGAGAGGTGGCAGCCCCTTGTGACGGAAGGGCCTCTACCTCCTCCCGCAGATGGGAAGTATGAGTTCTAGGAGGTGAGGAATGGGTTTGGGATCAGACCCAGAGAACTGAGGTGACACAGGCCAGTTCTCTTTCTACAGAACAGCGGAAGTACCCTGGAGCCTTTATTTCACTGTGACTCCTCAGGACCACTTAGAGTCAGGTGGACATGCACGGGAGACCTAGGGGCCCTTTGTCTTCTAGACATTCCGGGAACTCAGATAGGTATGTCCACTCCCACACTTCCAACAGCCCTAGGGAAGCTGTGATTCAGCACCAACCTTGCCCACCTGACCTGCCTCCTGTTCCCCCTAACCTGTGCCATCTCCTCCTCTTCCCTCTGGGTGGGCAATCAAGTACCCCACATTCTGCTGCTATTACAAAAGAATTAACAGTTCTGCAGGTCACTGTGTATTTAGCAAATACTTTTAGCACTCCTTATACTAAGTGACGGGGAAGCAGAAAACATGGGAAAGACATGGAGCCTGCTGACAGTAATCCTTAAATCCCCCTAACTTTGGGGAGTTGTTAGATTCTTACATTGCCATGAGACCTGGCTCTGACTCCTGAAACACTTCTGGACCAGTAATGAGTAAACAGAAATAAACAAAATACCATTCTCCATGTAGAATTGTCCTAGGAGCCATAGGGAGTCACAGGGGACAGGGAGGTATGGCCCTGGCCCTTGGGAAGCTCACCTTGGCTGTCCAAGCCACTCTTGCCTGATTCCAGGCCTGGGGGAATCCAGCATTCTGGGAACAGGTCTTTCCTAGGACTGTTTTCTCTCAGGCAAAGCAGTGCATTTATTCTTCACGTATCAAATGTTTATTCAACACCCACAGCACAAAACCTTCTGCCAGGGGCTGTGGGGAATACAAGAGAATAGAAGACAAGATTACTTCTCTCAAAGGGCTGAAAAGATGCGACACAGACACACATAACCAGTGTGAACCAGAGTGTGCTGGCGTGGGGGTAGGGGTGGCAGCCGCAGTCCATGCCCTGGCTGCACTGTTTGAGTTATGAGTTGAGAATGAGGTTTAGACTGACACCTGGACAGCTGGAACCATCAGAGGTTTTGCTGTCCTTTTAAATAAAATGTTTGGTCCCTTTGGCATTTTGGAACATCCAGCAGGTGTAAATTTTCGTCCTAATATTAGCAGCCTCTCTGAGAAACTCTTTCCTCCCATTTCATCCACCAGTGACTTGATTCCGGATCCTGTTACCCATCACCATGTTTGTTCCTCTGATGGATTTTCATTCTTCCTCATTGCCTCTTAGAGCCGCTAAGAGTACTTTTTAGAATCATGGAGATGATCTAGACAGCTTCCAAGATGAACTTTCTTTGTTTATAAGCCACGTGTGTTCCCAGAGGCAACGTTTTCTCCTGCCCAGGTCCCTGGCTGCCCTGGAGATGGTGTCCTGGAAAAGAATTTCATCATCTTTTCCCAGGGAAATTTACCCCAAGCAGATCCAGAGATTAGCCAGCATATCTGTTCCAGGGATGGGAACTTGCAGAGACCATTTACCTCATCCTGAATTCACTACTGAACACACTCTCCGTTTGGAAATGTTCATGTCATTTTAAAAAAGTCATCCAGTGTCTCCCTTTTCTTCTAGGCCTGCAGCCACAGGTAGCCTGGATTTTTACTGGCCCTCGGTCCCTTTTCTTTTTCAGGTTTTATTCTTTCCTTAGTTATTTTAAGCAATGTTCTGATTATGTCCAGTGAGTGTTTAACATGGAGACTCAGCAGATTTTAAAATTACCACTAACTCCCCAGATAGGACACTTGCTGATGCTGTCTTAGGAGGAGATCTTGGTTAGATTGGTCAGTTGAATAGCAGACTATCTCAGCAGCATTTACAGCCAGCTTCTGAATTGGCATCTGTACCTCCTCCACCCTTCTCCCCACTTTGGACCTATTTATTATCAGATAAATCACCGCTCTCCCCCACCATAAACCAGCAAACCAGAATCTTTGCCTTGTATGAAGCTTAGTTTTCTGTAATCTTTACCTGGCATAGTTATGCAGAATTGATTTGGATATTTTGACCTCGAGTATTTGGTTGAAGTAGCTTACCTTCAGATTTACCCATTCAGGTCTCACTTAAGAATATGTCAGTTTTAGATGCTTCAGGATTAAGATTTGGCCACACCTGGCAGTTGTAGACAAAAGACACCTCCATGTAGATTCTTACTGTCAATGATGGATGGAGGGAAAATGATTGGTTGGTACTGCTGTGTTCTAGATAAAGTTTTGAGGCTGTTTTGAATAGAAATTACACTCTGAGCCATTTACCCTTCAAAAAACCTGAGTAGCCGAATAGGGCAGTAGTTCATTCCAGATTTGCTTTGGCTACTGCCTGGGCCTCCAGGGAAGAGATCGCCACTCATGGATTATTAGGACAGGGATAGCCGAAGGTTCACTCTGCTTTAAACACTGAAACCTCTGAGCCCGCTCATCCTTGACCCTCCCTAGGCCATTGACCTGCTACTTCTACCCCTGCCAGCCTGCTGCTTAATTATAAATACCTCTGTTTTTAAAAAAAAAAAAACTTTAAGATACAGAATCTTAAGAAGTAAACCCCTCAGCTAGAGATAAAAAGCATCAAATGAAACCAAGAACCAAGTTGTGGATTGTTTCTCTCTTTTTGCCTCTAAATTTGCTTTAAAATATCATCAGTTTAGGCTAAACCAACCTATAATCATTACTTCCCAGTACAGGTAATTTAAGAATTGTTGATGAGAGCATCAACCTATCCCAGACTTGTGGTACAGTATCAGGGAAATCTCTAAGAAACCCAGAGCCCAAACAGTCTAACTAAAGGTATTTCAGGTCATCTTCCCCCTGAAGAGCTCTGTGCCTCTCTCCGGTTAGGCCCAGGCAGCCCTCCGTGTAGTTAAGGGATCTGTGAGATAGCCACCCTGAGAGCTCTGGTAGAATAAGGTGGGTTTGCCTCTGTAAAAGCAGGAAAGCATTTGACTGTGACTCCAGGCCTAGACTCCAGACTACTTCTCTCCAGGATGGCAACATACACAGCTCCAAATTGTGCAGATACCATAATCCTTTATTGGGATTTTTGTCATCCAACCAATGGGGGCATTGACCTGTCTATGAAAGAAAGAGTTCTGCCTGGGAATCAGGAGTTTGGGCCTTTAATCCTGGCTGCAGAACTGCCAGTGTTGCCACTGGGCAAATTCTTGTGTATGAGTCTCAGTTTCCTTATCTGTAAAGTAGAAATTCATCCAAGAAGCCTTCCAGCCGTTATCCTGATGATAAGAATAAGAGAAGATTTTCCTAGAAAGGTTAGACCTGAGGCCAATTCTTTTGGGGCTTTGTGGAGAGAAAGTATGGGAATTATAAGGGAAAATATGGATTCAGTTGTCCAGACCCACCCAAGTTCTTATGACCATGAAGGAGCCGTGATCATAGTTAAAAAGATGGAAGGATTGTTGCAGTTAAAAGTGAGAGAGTCACTTGAGTTCCTATGGAGCCAGAGTTCTGTCAAAAAGTTTCTTTGTTTGGTCCTTTTCTTGTTGGGAACTGGAAAGTCTACTGTGGTACTTTTTGAATCCGTATCCTTGTTGATGTAGTAACTCATCCAATTCTCAAACAAATGGTTTCTTGTCAACCAGGAGTAAGAGAGCTTGTCCTTGTTGGAAGTCCGTGGTGAATGAGCTGAGGAGGGGGCAGCCGGTGTGGAGTGTATGTATTTATCTGTATTCTTTTCCATAGGTACCATTAAATTTGTCTGGCTTAATTTAATGGGAACTTCTGGGACCTGCAGAGACTGTAAAGGGCGAGGGTAAGGTTTTTGTCATCTGTTCAGGCTCCTCTCCTTCCAATGGAACTTCCTCATTCTCCCTATCCCGTCAGCCTCTTCCCTTTGCCAACTTGTATGTTTGTTCTACTGCCCTCTCTCGACGTTCTCTTCCCTTTGTGTTTTTTTCTTCTGCCTCAACCACCTTTCCTTCCAGGTCGTTTGAGTCCAAGTTGAAGTAGGCAGCTGGTGTAACACACTTCCTCTTCCGGGGGGCGGGGCCCAGTCTGTATAATCAGTGCTAGGGGTTTTATTCTAACACTCTGGATCCTCTGTTTCTTTTTTGTTGTTGTTGCTGTTTTATCTTTTGTTTCCTTTTTTTTGTTTTTGTTTTTCTCTTCTGTTTCCGTGTAGGTCTCTTTAGTCAGCCTTATAGCTAATGCCCTGGGCTACTCGGAACTAGGTGCCATAAAGTCCCTTAGGACCCTAAGAGCTTTGAGACCCTTAAGAGCCTTATCACGATTTGAAGGGATGAGGGTAAGATACTAAGAGCAGCTGATCCTTCTGCATGCCAGTGGAAACTGTTTAAGCATGCTAGAACTGATCACACGGTGGGAAGATCATTCAAACACGAATTCTGTGATGCAGCTGCTGTCTTGATCCTCCACTCTCTCCCCCGCACCTGCCCCATGCGAAGGGGACTCACATTAAGCTGCCTTATCATATTAATACTGGCCCCACCCCCAACAACATGCCATTGCAGACCATGTTAACATTGGCTATTCTCATTTGGCCTGGCTTACCTGTAGCACTTGGGGTGGCTTTCTGGGCTGTTGATTCAATAGGGAGAATCACCAGGTGCAAAGAAGGGGAATTGTCACCCACAGACTCACTGAAAAGCAGAGGCCACAGACAGGGAGAGTGCTGGATAGGGGCATGAGCCAGGTGGGGACCGTGGCCTTGGAGTCACTGAGAAAGCAGCTGAGAAGGGGCTAGAAACTGGGACGGTAGGCCTGGAAATGGGGATAGAACAGAATTTGGCATGACCCTGGGAAAAGAAATGCTTTTCTTCCTATTCTGATTCCTCTTATTGCACCTTGTTGTTCTCAGCCCAGTCCCGTAAGGACTGGCAGCCTCTGTCTAATGGCAAAGCTTTCCTCCTCATCCCCTCCCCCTCTGCCCATGCTCTCTGGTCCCCTGTCGTAACACGGCTAAAATAACAACCAGATACAACGATAGATGACTATCAGCTAATTCTTCTGAAATTTCTCAACCCCTGCTGTTACTTGCTTGGGCGATACTCCACCCCAATCCAAACAGTGCAAGGTGCTGTCACCTTGCCAACTGAGAAATAAGGCTCTCTCTTTTGGTGCCTTTTTGCTGTCTCTCTTGGTTTAAAAAAACTTTGCATGTGGTCACATGTGTGTGCATGAGCACACACATAGTCAGTTTCCTAAAATCAAATGGACATCTGGCTTTTGGTGGTAATAGTTGTCCCATGGTAATCAGAGAGGTCTGTTATACTTAACGAGACCAAGAAAACTCACTTAAATTCAGATGTTGAATACATGTAGGAGAGCAAACCAGAGGATATTTTTTAAACGTGTAGAGATCAAATGTTAAACTGTCGGCAGTGGCCCACACAGAGCAAGACTGCTCAGGGAAACTAGGAACCAGAACGGTACTGCCTCAGTCTGTTCTCATCTGTGGGTTCCTGGCCACTGTTCCATGAAGCCACCCACATCTGCCCAGGAAGATGAACAATCTCTCTTAGACTTGGGGATTGTATTATTTTAGTTTATCCAGACAAATGCTTTCTGTAAGACATTTGCATTTCTGCTGTAGCACAGTCACAGTTTGATTTACTAAATATAACCTTTCTGCAGCCCACCCGAAACCATCTGCAGGAAGGTCCATTCCACAGCAGCATACATTTATTTGAATTTAAGGAACAAAAGTTGGGATTCTAAGTCTTTCTCCCACAGATAAGAGATTTCAGAATGTGTGCAATTAGGTCATTGTTATGCTCAGGCTAAATGTAAGTGGGGAGAGCGTCTATTGAAGAGGGCTTAGCATTTTAGGGGGCTCTGGTGTCATTGAAAATAGGGTTAAAATGCTCTTCCTTCTTCCCCAACCTTCCTGCTATTTTCAGAAGAGGTTAGTTAAATATTTTAAATAAGTTGTACTAGTTTTGTTATAGAGCTGATCATCCATTTTTTTGACTGAAGGCAATAATGGCAACATTGTGCCTCAACTCAGTAGCCTGTGATCCTCCAACATGCCCTAGGATGGGTCCCAGATCTCCTAAAACGAAACCAGTAATACCCAAAGAAAGCCTGAAAAAAAGATGCCCAGTTGACACTTCCTACAACCTTTCTCCGTCTGGGTGCCCATTACTGCCAGTCCCACCCTGTGGCAGAGATAGCCCTCATTGACTGGCTATGGCCAGTTGACTCTCAAGGACCTTGTGTGTATAGTCTGAACACCAGGGCCCTTCTAGTGGCTACACCTCTTCCCTTTAGCTCCTCCTCGTTTCCTCTCCTTTCCTGGACTCCCAGTTTCATTCCCTCAAAACTTGTCAACTTTCTAGTCATTTAGGAACTCAGAGATTGGAATGGGTGACCTTAGAATAGAAAGTTCTATTTGAAAAGCATTAGCAAAGGTTTTTTTGAGATGAGATAATCAAGGCAGGCACAAGTTTGAACCCCAAATCAGACTTTCAAACAATAGACATTCAGTAAGGAAAGTTCTGGTAACGGACGTCCCCGCCTTTGGTTGACTCCAGTCATCAACAGCATGGCCATTTCTGGTTGAGCCGGAGGTGAGGGCTCACAACCCATTCTGGGCAGCAGTCCCCCAGCCCTTTTGTGCAAGAACTGCAAGAAGGGAAGATGAATTTGCCTGAGCTTATCGTAAGTCCCCCAGTAATAAGCAGAATTAGGGACCAGTGTTTCATTTGAACATTGCTCTTCCACAGGAATGTTTTCCACTTATTGGTTTGAGTCCTTGGGTATGCCACCGTTTAAAAGAGACTACCCTTAGAAATTGTTAAACAAGAACTAAGTACCATCAACGCAGATGGACTCAACTGTCACTGTGCTGCTCCAGTGAGAGGCTCAGACCTTCACTTGTGAGGGAACATAAGGCCCTAGCTTGTCCTGGGGCCCTGACTTCAGTCTCTTCCTCAAACCAAAGACCAGAACACTGAAATACTCATGCTATCAGCAAAGGAATACTTAATGGAGTTCTTTGCTTTTCTCTCCTCCATAGTAATCTTCATTTAAGGATTTTGCTCTGCTATTAAATTTTTTGAGGGTACACAATAGTAATGCTATGAAACATGCATGCATTTTTGTTGATTGTCAGTACATAGTTGTCCATTAAAGCCATGTTCCCTCTGCCATGTAGTAAAAGCTATTTGACAGGCTTTATAGTATTTAATGAGCAATAATGTTCCAGGCATTATAGAGAAGACAAAAATGCTGAAAGAATTAGTACACATTGGAATTTTTCATCAATTAAATGAGATTTGTATCAATCGCTAAATATAAACTTCTATTGAAAAAAGTAGCTTTATAGATTGCTAGAGCCTAGCTTTAAGTAATATTTGTATACCTAATCTTTAAAAATAATGAATTTCATCATAATTAAAAACAATATAGAGTAATTTGAGCTATTAGAAGGCAGAAGAGGAGATCCAATTTATTATGTAACTATCCTTGGAAACATCATTTATTTTTATATATATATACATATATGTAGTTTAAGAGTCAAAGTAAGAAAGCATATTTTCTTGCTCTTTGGTTGCTGAGAATATTAGCTAATGTTCACAAGGAAGAATTATTAGAAATTTCATCAACTCTCTTTACTGTTTTATTCATGAAATGAAGCTAAGTTCGTCTTTGATTATAATGAAAGTACATTTCATTATAAATGAAAGCACATTTACATCTTTAAGTACACATTGGACTTTATGGGATTTCTATGTCCTACATATCACAGAACACCCAGTAAATACTTTTGTGTATTGATTCCTTTGTGCAGATCCGTAAGTATAAAAGTGAAAGTAGCTGATTATTCTTCCCTGCTATAAATATTACCCCATACTTGACTGTTAGACACAGACACCGTGTAGGACAGGTTAGACTAGGTTAAGGTAGCCAGAAGAGTTCCTGGAGCAGGTATATTCTGAATTGATATAAAAAGCAAGATTTCTAGGTTTCAGCTTTTTGGGGACCAACTTCCATATTGTAGACCTGTGATGGTCTAATAGAAGGTCATCATCTCTCATCCAAGCTCTGCTACAAAATGCTGTCACATAGACTGAAGCTTTTGAAACTTTACATAACCTACTCTCTTACTTTTGAGAAATAATTATTTCATTTGTGGGTCATCCTCCTTTTGCCTGTTCTTTTGCACATTTCATTGCCTCGTAGTGCTCCCATCAAAGGGTGAACAACTATAGAAAGAGGAGATTAAATTCAAGTCTGATCACCTGACAAATTTGGTAACATAAGTAAATATAAGTATCATTCTCAAAAATAACCTTGGGGAGTTTCCAGATTTCAGATATCCTGGCTCTCCTTTCTCAAAGTGATGAACAATGGAAGTATAATTATTTTATTATAAGGATTCTATTAGATCTAAAAGAGATTTCTTGGTCTAAGAATTAAGAAATAACTGCCTCTCAGTCTAAAGGCCTTCATACACGAATTGGAGAAACACAAAACTAATATTTTAATTTAAGGGAGAGTGACCCCTTAGCAGAATATCATTGCCTTTCTAATAGAGGACAGAAGAGACCGTTCTTCTGAGCCACATGTTCCAATGAGTGGCATTACAGTCTAAGGCGCAACAGAAGATGAGGAAAATCGGATCCCGATTAGGCTCAAACTAGAGCCCAGAGCTGCCCCCTGGTGTTCCTTGTACAGCACGACCCTTGTAGCCCTTTTGGTCCCGTGCTGGTTGGCAGCGGATCCTGTCTTCTTCCCTACACTGAAAAACAGATGCAGGAGCGTGGTGATACTTGTCACCTCCTTCTAACAAAACATGAGAAGAGTTTGTTTATATCCAGGATCTCTATTTTAACTCCACTCATTCTCCGAGGATGCTAGAAAAGGAACATGCTTCCCATTTCAGGGTCACCTTTCTGGGCCTTAGTCCTGCTTAAGACAACAGCAAGTAAGAATCAGGGCAAGAATGATCGCCAGCATTGTTTTCTGTCCCACTAGTGCTATTTTTGTAAGCACTTTGAACTCCTCTAGTGAAAACTGCTACAACAGTGGAAGTACTGTCTAGCTCTTCTCATCTGTAGTATGAAGCAAAGTTAAAAACAACCCAGAAATTTGGATTCCTAATGGGACTTCTTTTCCCTTTTTTTTCATTCCTGAGTCTACTGTAGTCAGTGATTTTTAACAGTATGCCAGTTTGGGGGCTTTCAAGAGCAGTGATCTAACCCGAAATGCTCCAAAAACCCTAAGTCACTCCTTTTTCCAGTAGTACATTGTGAAGAGTCAAGTCAAACCCGGGATTGACCAGAGAGATATCAGCATTAGCCAAGCAGGGGCCGATTCAGACTGAGAAGCCTACAAAGTCAGAAAAATAAAAAGACTGAAGAAGAATAATGAACCTTGCGTGAAAAACACAACTGTTCAGATTTTATTTTATACTGTTTGGTAGAGGGAATATAGCTTTTTTTTTTTTTCTTGAGCCTGCAAAATGATGCATGCTCAGCTCTTGCCTGAAATAAGATAACTGGCCTTGCATAGTCATAAAAGAGACTTTATGTACTGTTGAGTGATTCACTGCTAACCCCACAGGGTAGTTCTCTGTGATTTTGAACAATCTCACCTTGATTTGCAGAGGGGGAATGTCTGTAGAAAGGCAACTAGTGAGCTTGAAATCACTCAGATTGTCCTATGGGGGCCATATTTCATGAGTCGGTAAGAAGGAAGACTAGACAATGAAATGATTTTTTTGGTCCCAGATTGGTGCCTAGGAGAGAGACCTAGCTAGGTCAACTTGGGCAGGGGACTTTGTGTTCAATGAAATAAATAAGTAATGTTTAGAATCCCCCAAAGTATACTTCAGAAATATACAAAATTTTGGTCCCATCTATGGATCTGTCTGATAAACCTAATTCCAAAGGGAACATAATGTTTCCATAGTCATAACAAGCCACACAGTGTCATTCCCCTCCTGGAAATCAAAAGAGTGCGCGTGCCTGTACTTCTTCCCGACACTCAGCAACCTCCCCCTTCCAATGCAGGTGGTGGTGAATGCCTTGGTGGGTGCCATCCCCTCCATCATGAATGTGCTGCTGGTCTGTCTCATCTTCTGGCTGATTTTCAGCATAATGGGAGTTAACCTGTTTGCGGGAAAGTACCACTATTGCTTTAATGAGTCTTCTGAGATCCGATTTGAAATTGAAGATGTCAACAATAAAACAGAATGTGAAAAGCTCATGGAGGGGAACAACACAGAAATCAGATGGAAGAACGTGAAGATCAACTTTGACAATGTTGGGGCAGGATATCTGGCGCTTCTTCAAGTGGTAAGGTTGTTTTCAGTCCTGTGAGAATTGGACGGCTAGCAGAAATCTCATTTCGTTCTTTTTCAGCCCTATGTCCAGAATCAGGGTTGCTCTTAAGTCAGGGGTCACTGTCATTTCCCAAAGCAGTTCCAGGGAAACACCTCTCCTGAGTACTGTGAGGTCTCCAAGACCTCAGTCAAGGGAATCTGTCATTGTGCTTAGAAGCTGAGTTCTGCTTAGCAACAAATAAGGATTTCTGCAACGCAGTATGGTTGCAGAGATAACACCTTCTCTCTCCAGGACAGAAGTATGTAGTTAAAGAGAAAGTAGGTAAGTCACAGACCGAAAAGAAGAAAAAGGGGCAATTTTGATGGAGCACAATTACTGCTCCATTACTGCTATGCTAGAGTTAACTGAAGAATATGACAGACAATATGACGGTGCTATGATGCTGCCACTATGTCATCTCAACCACAGAGAAAGGTCTCAATGTATCAAAACAAGAAATGAAGCCTTTCATCATGTCTAGTTTTCTCTCTATGGCCAATTTTTTGGAGTGTTTGACAAGATAGTATGATGCAATGAAGGCTCCTGGGCTCTGAAATCAGATGTAGGTTTGAGCCACACTCTGACGTTTATTGGATATGTAACCTTGGACAAATTACTCAACCTCCCTGAGTCTTTTTCTTCATCTGTTAAATTTGAATAGTAATACCTTGCATGATGGTTAAGCAGATTCATGGTGACTTATTAACGTTCCCTAGCACAATGCCTGGCACACAGCAGGCACATGCTTAATTAATAATGTTTGCTATTATGTTTCTTTGTTACTATTACAACTTTCTACATCATACAGTTTCTGGGAGTATTAAATATGATAGTGCAGGTGAAGGACTCGAGTATAGTAAACTCTTAACTGTTAGCTAGTAGACGGAGGCTGAGTTAATGGGATGAGCAGTGGTTTATCCCATTCCACAGCTCTTTAGTTGTTCTGTCCCAGTTCAAAAAATTGGACCCACAAATTGAACCAGAATTGGAGCAGCTTCAAGAAACCAGTGCCCATCAGCTGGCCAAACGTTGTATTGAGTCCCCACCATATGCCAGGCACTGTGCTTGGGCATTGCCAGGGCCATCAGATGAATAAAGAACTACGCAGGCCCTGAGAAAACTTAGAATCTGATTGAGTTAATAAAACATAAAATAAATGGTAAACATGGAGGCTGTTAAATTGGTTACCCATATTAGTTTCCAAAATCAGGTTAGGCACAATGAGAGAACTGGCTAGGGGCTGCCTAGAATAAAGCCTGTATTGCCACTGCAGTAGGGTAAGTTTGTGTTACTTAAGAGGGAAAAGTTCTGGTTGAGGTTTTTTCTTAATGCAACTATGAATTTTTCAAACCGCCATTACTTAGTTTAACACCGTTTTTTAAAACGACCCCTTCATGGAGGAGAGGTAAGTTCTAAGTAACCTCAGTAGATCCCTGCCATTCATAAATATGAGTTTGCCCTTGCTTTAGGCAACCTTCTTAGACTCATTCCAAAGACCTTTTGTAAAAGTATTGACTCAACTACCATTGTCAACATGCTCCTCTGCCAGACTTTGATGTTATACTCAGGGACTTAGACAAAGCTCCCTTGGGACCTGTGTTAACAAACAGAAAATTTCTGTGTCCACATGAGGCTGCACCCAAACTCCCTGACTTGTGTTCTTACAGAACCTAAGCCTGCCTTTTTGACCCTACCTAGACTCCACCCACCCACCCCCTAACAGGCACAGTCTAATGACTGACTCTGTTTGCCAGGCAACCTTCAAAGGCTGGATGGACATCATGTATGCAGCTGTAGATTCCCGAAAGGTAAGGATATACCTGGTGAGAGCACAACCTTCTTAAATGATTAGAAAGCTCATGGCATGGTGAAGCTCAGTCAAGAGAGAGAGAAAGGGTTAGAACAGTTCCTGCTTGTCTTATTGATTATAGATCACTTTCCTCCTCTCAGTGAGTTATCACTCACTCTCTTACAGTGGCTCCAGATGGTTAGGCTGCTGGCTTTCACCTGACCCTCATGGAGCTGTCTACTCTTGGTACTGATTTGAACTAAGTGTGGCTCCTAGCAGACAGCCCTCCCTTCTCCTTCCCCTCACAGTTTGCATATTCTCCACCTATGTCCTGGCAGGAATAACACCTTCTCAGGGCAGAACCTGCCAGTGTGGAAAAGCAGACAGACAGAATCTAGGGCTCCCACCCCAGCTTGCTCAATGGCTCAAGTGGTTGATGTAGCTGATGGCCTTGGCATGTCAAAATCTCCTACCTGATCCCCCAAGCTAGGAGCTGACTCTCTTTTCTCTCCTGTCCTTTGACAGCCTGATGAGCAGCCTAAGTATGAGGACAACATCTACATGTACATCTACTTTGTCATCTTCATCATCTTCGGCTCCTTCTTCACCCTGAACCTGTTCATTGGTGTCATCATTGATAACTTCAATCAACAAAAGAAAAAGATAGGTCTCCTCCCCACATTGCCAGTGGCCAGAGGTCAACCCATACGAGAGGCACTTCTGTCCCTCTGTCTGGAGAAAAACTCCTCTCTTTCTTCAGAATCCACATCATGACATCACTGTGGCACAGCCCGACAGTACATTAGCCCCAGCCAACTCATCGTTTTCTGCTGGATTTTGCAGTGTGAGGTTTTCCACACTTATTAGACCAAACCAGCAATTTACTGGTACCAAATTTACTAGCAATCCTTGAGGCTCTTTACTGGGTTTGACTTCCCACCAGGGGAGGCTCTTTACTGGGTTTGACTTCCCACCAGAGGGAGGTTGGGTCTCAGAGGGTCTAGCGACAGCTGAAAGGAAAGCAGCAGATGGACAGCTTAGTGAGAAGTAGAAACTGTGTTGACTTGTCATTATCTTTGTTACTTCCTGGACCACCAGCACATTGGGATTTGAGAGATCAACCTTGGAAAGCTCACTTCCTCACTTGTCCCAGATGGTTAACACTTTTTCTAAAGCAAATTGAAAAGATTACTCTTGTTCATTTTCTAAATCAAGTCTGTCCCAACAAACTCCAAGGAACTTCTCAAATTGCTCCCACCAAGATTTCTGAATTTTTAATGTTGTTGGAAATGGGCCACTAGCTAGGACTTAAAAAATCCTTTCATTTTAAAACGTCTTTTTCAAAAATAAATAAATAAATAAAATGTCTTTTTCAAGAATTGTATTAGGAAAGAAGTGAAGTCGCTCAGTCGTGTCCGACTCTTTTCGAACCCATGGATTGTAGCCCACCAGGCTCCTCCATCCATGGGATTTTCCAGGCAAGAGTACTGGAGTAGGTTGCCGTTTCCTTCTCCATGGTAAAGAAGGCCCCCCCAAAATTTATGAAGATGTGTTTGGAATCATGGCTCTCAAATTTACCCTTCCCTGAGGGTCTGTCAGTCTATTTCCTTCCTTCCTTCCTTCCCATCTCTTAGCAGGTCTCAGAAATCCCAAGCTGAAAACAAAGACAGGTGTATTTTGAGTTAGAATAGTTGTCAGGTCTTCCTCACTCTGGGACGGCCATTAGCTAAACTGACCTCTGGCTTACAGTGAAGAGGGTGACCCCTGGTTTACAGTGAAGGGCGTAAGGCCTTCTGGGTTCTCAGGGCTGCACCTACAGCATATAAGAGCCAGTTGTAATTGCGAATCCTCTTTTTCCCTCCTTTACTTTGGAGGTCAGGACATCTTCATGACTGAAGAACAGAAGAAGTACTACAATGCCATGAAAAAGCTGGGCTCAAAGAAACCACAGAAACCCATCCCCCGCCCTCTGGTGAGTTCATTGTGCCGGCCCAGGGAAGGGTGAGACTCCCTACGAAGAAAGACACGGCAGAGTTACTGCAGAGAAAGGAGGGGGCAAATGAGGGGCGACCTGTGCCCTCTAGTCCACCCCTCGCTGTCCATCCACAAGATCAGAGGACAGGAATTTCCTGGCGGTCCAGTGGTTAGGACTCTGTGCTTTCACTTCAGGGGCACGGGTTCAGTCCCTGGTCAGGGAACTAAGATCCGTTGAGTTGTGCAGAGCGGCCAAAAACAAAAAGATCTGAGGAAGAAGAGAGGACAGGGATTAAGGTACGGGGTGGCTTTTGCATTTGCACCCAGCCTTTTCTCTGAGCCTTCCTTGGGTGGCAACAGAGAGTCGACATGTTCACCACATTTGCTCTCGCCCTGGTAGAGAGATGTTTGTTTTAAGAGACCACGTAAAAATTAACAGCAGAACGTGAAGTGAAAGCTGATCTCTTTCCTATAAGTACAAGATAGGATTTGGTCATTGTTTTCTCCATGCTGTCCTTAACAAGTGTTTGCAGGGATGTGCCTGAAAGTGAAAATAATGCTTCTTTCTAGTTATTTGTGAGAGCAGGAAAGGGTGAAACTAGGGAAGTCAGATGGCCCGATTTCCTCCCTTGAACTGAGCCTTTTGTAAAACAGACTTGGGGACAGGGATTCTGCATGGCCCTTGTGTTAGGGATTGTCCTCTTGCTTCAGAGAAGGAGATGCTATGTTCCTGAAGCCATACACCTGCTAGGTGGGATGTGACCCCCAAAAGCCAGGCTCAAAGTACCATCTTCTGTAACTTTTATTTAAAGTAACTTTTTATTTAAAATAAAATTTAAAAAACCTACAGCAGAACTCTTAAAAGCGTACCTGATAGCCTAATTTGTAAAAATAAAAGTGGAGCTATTTTGTTTGCGTCAAGAATGGGAGTCCCAGGTTTGGGCCAGTCTTCTGAGAAGAGCAAAAGACAAGAATGGGTGTCTGAGAGCCTTTTCCTGACTTAGCCCCACATCCCCTGTTTCTGGCGACCTCCTCTCCCCAGTTTCTGAGGGAGAGGAAAGCCCTTGCTCATTGCAGAACAGTTTGAAAACCACCAAGTTAAGTAATCCTAAAAACAAGCATATGCTTAAGTGCCTAGGTACCCGAAAAAAATCAGGGAGCTCTTAAGAAGAGAATGTTTTTTATATTTCTTTGATGTTAGTTTCTGCATTGTGATAGAAGTGTGGCCAGAGGGAATGGACGAGGGCTGACATTTCTAAAACTCTGTTCAGTACTTTGTACATGGGACCCTGCGTGTATTTTCTCCCCCACTAACATAGAAATGCTCAGTGTGATACGAAGTATCAATAGTTATTCCACAAATAGTTACAGATCTCCTACTGTGTGCCAAACACTATGCAAAAAGTGATAAAATTTAGACACCACTATCATGGAGCTTACAGTGTAGTGGGGCTATAGATAATAAATAAGTAACCAACATTAATTATAAAATGTGGAATGTTGTGAGGGAAAAAAAATGCACTGAAGGGCCATGATAGAAAATAATGGAAGCTTGGCGTGGAGGATCTCTTCCAAGAGAGTCGGGTCTATTTGAGTGGATGAGAAGGAGTCAGAATGCTGGGGAAGGAGATCCTGAAAAGCAATTGAGACCTTAAAAGTGGGAAATATTAGTGTAGCTAGGTGGTGATGAACTAGAGGAGGGGGTGTAAGGTAAGCAAGACCAGACTGTGGAAGGCACTTTTAAACTTAGGTTAACCACAGGAATTTTGTTGCAAGCCTGATGGGAAACCGGTGAGAGGTTTTAAGTAGGAGAGTGATGTGATCCATTTCTGTTTTTAAGTAATCAACACTTGCCACTCTGTGGAGACTGTGTTGGATAAGGGCAAGAGAAGAAGCAGGAAGACCAGTCAGGAGACCCTTCTAGAGGTCCAGAGGGTCTAAAACTATGGTGGCTTAGGCTAGAGTAGGGCAACAGAAATGGAATGAAGTGGATGAATTCAAGGAAGAATCAACAGGGCCTGCAGTGCGTGGGATGAGGGAAAGGGAAGAGCGAGAATGACCCTTAGATTTCTGGCTTAGATACTGGATGAATAATCGCAGTGAGAAAGGAGCAAGTTGGGGGATGGTGGGAGAAAGGACTTGTTGAGCTCGAGATGCTTATGATTCATCCAGGAGCAGTGCCAAGCAAACAGCCCAGGAGTTTGGAGGAAAGATACAAGTTGGAAGAGAAAACACTTGGGAAACTAAGTATAGAGATAATGTGTGAGCAGTAGGAAAAGATGGTACTTGAGCTCTCCAGGGAAGAAAGAAGAGATGAAGGGAGAGAAGAAATGGCCAGCAAATGAGACCAAAAAGGGACAGCTGGAGAGGTAGGAAGGCACGCGGAAGCATGTGATGGCATAAAGAAAAGAGTGGTGATTTTAAAGAGCTCTTGATGAGGGAACGTTGACAGTGGTCTTTGTCCATCTCCTGCTGCTGGCCAGCACTGCAACCGAGAAAGCAGAGAGAACTTTGATTCATAGGGTGGCAGCTCCCACAGTCTACTGGGGAAGGTTTTCAAGAAGCCTTTTCTGTCTTTCCTCTCTCCCCACCCAGAACAAAATCCAAGGGATCATCTTTGATTTTGTCACTCAACAAGCCTTCGACATTGTTATCATGATGCTCATTTGCCTTAACATGGTGACGATGATGGTGGAGACAGATACTCAGAGCAAGCAGATGGAGAACATTCTCTACTGGATCAACCTGGTCTTCGTCATCTTCTTCACCTGTGAGTGTGTGCTCAAAATGTTTGCCTTGCGGCACTACTACTTCACCATTGGCTGGAACATCTTCGACTTCGTGGTGGTCATCCTCTCCATTGTGGGTGAGTGGGGCAGGAGGGGCAGAAGGGGCAGGTGAAGGGACCCAGCTGACCCTGAGGATGGGATTCCTGGGAGTGCAGCGAATGACACGGGGCCAAGGGGCCCGCAGGGTTACACCCGTGGTACCCTCAGTCATCTTGTGGGTCTGCCCTACATCGCTGACATGGGTCAGCAAGTTTCTGTGAGTGTTCACGGTAGTCTTGGATTATAAATTCTGTGGTTGAAGAGGGGGAAAAAATTAAATTTGGTTCTTGCTTTCAAAGAGTTTACATTCTAACAGGGAAGGTGTAAAAAAAATTGTGTTTTAAAATCTGGCTATCAGTAGCAGTGTAACGTGGAAAAAGTCATGGTAAGAGATTGTTACATTGGATATTAATGAGAATTCTGGTGATGATGGCTGTGTTAACACTTCTTCTGTTGCCAACACTCATTTACTACAATTTTACGGTGCCAAGTATGTTTGAGAGTTTCTTCACTTGTGTTATCTCATTATGACAGCCCAGGAATCAAGGTATTTTATTATCTTTTTGCTGTGAAGATGTCCAGAGTCACTCAGCTCAGAGGTGGCAGAGACAGAACTCAAGTTGGTTTTTAACAGTGACTTTGTGGCGTTTATTTTAACCAACAAAGGGCCTGGAAGGGCTGGTGTCCTGGCAGGCAGCGGAAATGCTGTCCTGTCGCCCACCCTCCTCAAAATTTCCCTGCCTTCCTCACGGGCTTCTCGAATGATGCCGCACTGCCTTGGTCCCAGGTGGGTGTGACTCGAGCCACAGTGCCCAAGACAAGGAGCCTGTCCCTGAGCTGAGGTAGTGACTGTGGGCACCAGAAAGCAACTGTTACCCCTCTGTCTAGTTCTGTCTTCCAGAGCACCAGGCCCAAAAATGTGTTCAATAATCTCACAGATTTCTCCTCAAGGAAAGAATCCCATAATGAAACCACTTTGGGCAACACTGTACATTGTATTTCCCTTCAGAGGGTCACAGGGCACATTAGCCCACAGGAGGCTCTTGGAAGTCTTGGAGTAAAGAATTCTGTTTAAAACACCATCCCACCTTTATCCAATCACAACACCCTGTTTTCAAGTAATAATAATGTTTCTCAGACTTCAATGGAATATACTCTGTGCCGGTCATCATTCTAAGTGTTCTACATGTTTTAATTCATGTAGTCATCACAACAGCCCTGTAAATATCACAAGGAACCGAGGCACAGGGCAATTAGTGAGATATGCAGCTGATAAGCGAGCAAGCCCAGCCCCTGGCCTCAGCTCCACACTCAAAACCTCCCACCAAACACACTTTGGATAATGCTGCCCTTGACCACTGTTCTTGAACTTTTTCTGCCCACCCATCATTGAGTGGGATGGAAAACCCACAGATCAATGCCCCCTATTTTCAGATGGTACTTGAAAATAAGTAGGAAGAAGTGTTTCTCTTGATGCTTGGGATTTTTTTTAATATCATTAATTTGTTCAGAAACAAATATGTAGGAAAAAATCTTTTTAAATTAAGAGGAGTTGGGGTAAAACTTACCCTGGCACCTCCGAGAAAGTGTAAAATGAAAGTGCCAGTCACTCAGTTGTGTTCAGCTCTTTGCGACCCATGGGCTGTAGTCTACCAGGCTCCTCTGTCCATGGAATTCTCCAGGCAAGAATAACTGGAGTAGGTAGCCATTCCCTTCTCCAGGGGCTCTTTCCAACCCAGGGATTGAACCAGGTCTCCTGTGTTACAGGCAGATTCTTTACCATCTGATCCACCAGGGAAGCCCAGCACTGGGTCTTGTAGGCACCTCCTAGAGAACCCCTTAAAAGTTGACTCCACTGCCTAGATAGCTGTCTGCCTATCTCTCCCCACTTTTCTCTGGCACAATAAAGCATTCATCCTCAAAACCTTACTCAGGCATTGTCTCCTCTCTGAATCCTCCTCTCCATCATATAAGGAATGCAAACATCACCTGCATTACCTGACTTCTTTTTTTTTAATTACCTGATTTCTTAAGGTCGCTGGTTATGACTTAATTGAGAGGTAAAAAGAGGAAAGCTGAGAAAGTCCTCTTGGGTCCCAGCTGAGGTAGATTTTCTTGAAAGTTCAAATGCCTCCTGAGATTCTAGCTCCAGACGAGATCCCAACAGGTTGTCTGGCTACTCTGCACTTCCTGTACCTCGTCCCTTCCTGAAAAATAGGATTCTTTCCTAGCATAAAACCTTCAAATAAGTCTTCTGCAGTTCACTGCCCGAGTGTTTATGAGTCCCCAGGACTGGAGGCTATTTCTTTATTTAAGTGAAGTCTCCTGTGGGTTGAAGCTCACTCTGTCTCATGGGGGCCCCACGGCAGGAGAGGACACGGAAGGAAGAGCACGTGGTGTCAGTGCCGCCCTTCAGTTGTCGTCTCCCAGCCGTTTCATTGCCTCTTCCTTCTGTGACCCTCCCATTTTTGCTCTGTGATTTTAAAGGCAAGTGGTCTGGTGGAGGTGGACCCCTGGAGGAATGTGAACAGAAACAGGCCCTTTGATATGTGTGTTTCATATCCTGTTAATGCCTCGACATTTTTATCTGCTGATACTGGTTTCTGATTTATAACTTTAAACACAAAATCCAGAAACTGTGAGTTGAAAACCACTCCTGAGAAGTCCCTTTAGTTTGCAGGCGAGTTTGGTGGGGCAGGGACATGGGGCCATGAGAAACCAAAAATGTCTTTCCAGAGCCAGGAAGAAAATGCCCTGAGAATTGATGACCTTAGCAGACTAAGATTTTGCAACCACAGGGTGGAGCCGGGACTTCTCATTCACTGTTTGTGAATGTGACAATTTGACAGCAGTTTGGAGAAGAATCCATAACATCTCAGGAAGTCATGCAGAGACAAATCTGAAAACAAAAACAAAAACCTGAATTTAACACCAGAGATCAATCTCACAAGCATAATGTTAGGTTTCAAAAGCAAACTAGAGATCTAGAAGGAAAAAAACATGAAAAAAAGGCAAATTAGAGATCTAGAAAGATAGATATGGTATAATTCCTTAAACCTTGTAGACTGCTACCTATATATTTCATACCTAGCAAAATTATGAAGACAGAGATGATGCATGCCATCTACAGGATAGTGGTTGCTTCTGGGGGTGATAAGTGGAAGCAGACTTAGTCTCTGGGTACTGTTGTTTTCTCTGCTTTTCTACATGTTTGAAACGTGATTTTCTTTTGAGAAAATTTTTTTTATTATGAGAGTTCAGATTGGCTAGTAAGGCACTCACTCTATAAAGTCCTTTGAAGTTAAGGGTTCCATAGTGCCAGGTGACATAAGTAAAGAGGAGGGGCATCTCCAGTCTCAGTAACATGTCTCCCGTTCCCCTTCTTAGGAATGTTCCTGGCTGATATCATTGAGAAATACTTTGTCTCCCCAACCCTGTTCCGAGTCATCCGATTGGCCCGTATTGGGCGCATCCTGCGTCTGATCAAAGGCGCCAAGGGAATTCGTACCCTGCTCTTTGCCTTAATGATGTCCTTGCCTGCTCTGTTCAACATCGGCCTTCTGCTCTTCCTGGTCATGTTCATCTTCTCCATCTTTGGGATGTCTAATTTTGCATACGTGAAGCACGAGGCTGGCATTGATGACATGTTCAACTTTGAGACCTTCGGCAACAGCATGATCTGCCTCTTTCAGATCACCACGTCGGCTGGTTGGGACGGCCTCCTGCTGCCCATCCTAAACCGGCCCCCTGACTGCAATTTGGATAAGGAACACCCAGGGAGCGGCTTTAAAGGAGACTGCGGGAACCCTTCAGTGGGCATCTTCTTCTTTGTGAGCTACATCATCATCTCCTTCCTGATTGTGGTGAACATGTACATTGCCATCATCTTGGAAAACTTCAGTGTAGCCACAGAGGAAAGCGCAGACCCTCTGAGCGAGGACGACTTTGAGACCTTCTATGAGATCTGGGAGAAGTTCGACCCCGATGCCACCCAGTTCATCGAGTACTGTAAGCTGGCAGACTTTGCAGATGCCCTGGAGCATCCTCTCCGCGTGCCCAAGCCCAACACCATTGAGCTCATTGCCATGGATCTGCCAATGGTCAGCGGGGATCGCATCCACTGCTTGGACATCCTTTTTGCCTTCACCAAGAGGGTCCTGGGAGATAGCGGGGAGTTGGACATCCTTCGGCAACAGATGGAGGAGAGGTTCGTGGCATCCAATCCTTCCAAAGTGTCTTATGAGCCAATCACGACCACGCTGCGGCGCAAGCAGGAAGAGGTATCGGCAGTGGTCCTGCAGCGTGCCTACCGGGGACATTTAGCCAGGCGGGGCTTCATCTGCAAAAAGACAACTTCCAATAAGCTGGAGAATGGAGGCACACACCGGGAGAAAAAAGAGAGCACCCCGTCCACAGCCTCCCTCCCCTCCTATGACAGTGTGACTAAACCCGAGAAGGAGAAACAGCAACGGGCGGAGGAAGGACGAAGGGAAAGAGCCAAAAGACAAAAAGAGGTCAGAGAATCCAAGTGTTAGAGGAAAGCAAAAATTCAACATTGTACAGACTTAAAACTTGCAAGTGAAAGATTGTTTACAAACTTCCTGAATATTATCAATGCAGAACAGCTGTGGAGACACTTTATCCTGAAGATCTATACCAAACGTAGTCTGCTTACCACGTACCACGGTTGCATCTTGAGCAGTGACCTGCCAAGGGCAAAGGACCCTGCTCCCTGGACTCACAGATTTTCTAATGCTTGGGCAGGTGGTTACTGCATGTTCCACATCAGTCAATGCAACTTAGGACAAAACTAACAGGATACATAAAACAGAGGTGAGGCTGCCGGGACCAGTGTATTTCCGTTGCAGCCAGATGGATTTTTTTGTTTGTTTTTCATTTTGTTGATTCTCAGAAGCAGAAAGCATCACTTTAAAAGTTTGTTTGTTCATGCAAACTCTATTTGCATTCTTACATTAGTTAAGCTAAGCAGCAAAAAGAAAAAACACACACACTCACATTTAGCCCATGTCATTTACTCGTCAGTTTCTTTGACATAAAGCCGCATCTTCTCCACATGGGCTTCACGTGGTTTGGAGATGGGTGGGGGAAAACAATCAGGTTTCTTCAGGCTGAGGAGGACTTGCTCAGGCCGATTCCAAACATTGTGTTCGTTCAATGCGTAGAAATGATTTGCATGATGGCATGCCGTGATCAGGAGTCATGCATGAGAACCATACACCACAGGACACTACTGATCCTGTCCCCTGCACTGGGTCAGCCTTTGGACAGGACCCAGCCCTGCACCGTTCACTGTATTTGGAGAAAAAATGGTAAGCATTCCATACCCGCTGCAATTCTTTCTGAATTCTTAGAAGTCTTTCATACACCTTCTGGGTAGGGAAACATAACCAACCAATTGACCACCACCACCAACAAAAAAAAACAAACCCAGTCCAACAAGCAGATGGATCCGTTGTGTGTATATGTTTAACAGACATCTCTAACATACAGCCATTGTTGCACATTTTGAAAGATGAACTCTTTAATGCTGCTCTGTGTCCTGTACGTGGGGAAACTTTGATCTCGAATGGCTTGTATTAATGTCACTGTAAAACCAAATCTTAGGGCTAAAAACAAAAATCAAAAAAGTTTTTTTCATTTATATCTTGCAATATTTATGATGATTGTTTAGCCTTCATACTGGACAACTGACACTTTTTGGGGGCAGAGATAAAAGTGCTATTCAGAGTAGCATGTTATCTCTAGAAGGTCATTTGGGGAACTTAAAACAACCTTTCGTTGGGGGTAAAGGGGTGCTCACTTCATCAGTATCATGTCCTTCTGCATTGTGGCTTTCTCTGGGCTGGGGTCCACATGGCGAGGGGTTCAGATATTCCGAACGGGCCTCTCTCTTCTATGGAGTAGTTGTCACAAGCTCAATCGCTGCACAGTTCCTCTTGCCTCCGTCTCATTCTTCCACCATGCAGGGCTTCCTTTACCCACAGAGGTGGGTGAGGGCAGCAGCATTGAGCTATGGCTGTGGTTTCTTTCATTTCTTATTAGGATAAATGGTCACTGGTGGGACCTCAGGAGAGATGGAGCCTCCTCTGAACCCAGCCCACTTGATTTCTTTATTGCACTGGTTCTCATGAGAAAGCAATTCAATATGAATCCTTAAGAACTTCCAGCTTCCCCCAGCACATTCCCTTTCAGCCAATTTCGCCATCTGCTTAGCGACCTGCACATTGTCATTGGAGGGTGGCTTTGGCGGGGAGCGTCATAGCTTCCGTTCTGTCTCCCACTTCCGGGAAGAGAGTTCTTAGTCCAGGGGTTTCTCATCCGATGACTAGATTTCAGAGCTAAGATGCTGCAGGTGAATGTGTCAGGAAGCTGATTCAAAGAATGAGGAGAGACCTCAGCATGCAAACCAAATCAAAATGAATTCTTCCTGAACCATACGGTAAGAGGGGGGAAAAACAACCCATAGTCAGACACACCAGTCGGCCTTGCAGTAGGAGCACTTTGGATGTAATTTCACAGTCCGCCTGACTAGTTTTGCGTAGAACAAACCACAGCCAGTCAGTAAGCAGAGCTTTCTATCTTGCTGGACCATTAGAAACTCTGTCCAGTTCTCAGAAGCCTGCTTCTGCGACACCATCCGTAGAACTTTTTGTACTACACCCGATTCCAGGTTGGGAAGGCATTTTCTTCAGTGACCCTGCTAACTGATAGGATGAATGTATAGTTAACATGTACAGGCTACATCGTAAACAGCACAAAACAGAAGCTGACGTGTGGTTATTCTTTTTAAGAGAATTATAAATACTGTAATATATCATTTTATTTTATTGGCATGCCTTTTTGTAAATACAAAATATTAACTTATTAAATAGGAAATGGCTTCTGGCTTATGCCATTGTCATGTTTATTTTTATTTTTTATACTTTTCTTTCTTCTTAGAACTTAGATGCTGTCAGCCAATGTACATCCCCAAACCAGACAGACAGACAAAAAATTTTTTATTGCTAATGGTCTTTTCCAAAACAACAACAAAATATATATATTTTTGTTCCAATGTGCAATAAATTCTAACCACTTCTATGCAAGATTTGGCTAAACTTCATAATTGTTCTTGTTCTTAGGTCTTGAGATGGGCCACAGAGCTATAAGATCCCGCTCGTCCTCCAAGTGCTCGTGCTAGTGATGCTACTAGAGCATATTAATTAATGAGATTTTTTGAGCTCTGATCTTTTTTCCTCCCCCAGGCCCTAGTCTCCCCACCCAGCAGGCTATCTCCTCAGTGACACACACAGGCCTTGGTATCTGACACCCATCAGCCAGCTTCATAGGGAAGAAGCCACCTCCACTCTATTTGAAGTTTCACCTTTTTTTGTTTGTTTCTAAAAAACTTTTCCCACCTTCTTTCTCCTCACCTGATGGCCCTCCACCCACCCACTCGTTCATGCACTCTCGCACTCACCCGCCCTGCTCCACACTTCTTTGGTAGTAAGTGACACCATCACCAGCAGTTTACACCCGCAGTTAACAGGCATTGAACTGAAAGAGTCAGTGAAGGCGTTCTCGCATGTCTTCACCCAGTGGATAAGTGGCAACGCTTTGCCAAATATTAACGAAGCCAATCAAAAAGCAGCAGCAGCCACAGTATCACTGCACATATATATATATAGATATATAAATACAATATAAATATTTATTTTTTGTAGCCAGGTCCTTGGTGCAGTATTTATACTCCAGAATCCACCTTTAAAAAAAAGGACAAAAAGCAAAAAGACATGTGTGATGCTGTTAATTTAAAACGCAGAGCCAAAGCCACCGAGCAGCAGCTGACATGGTTGCTGGTTTGTGTGTGAAAAACACTTTCCCCTCTTCTTTTCTTTAACCTCCTTGTTGCTTAGGATGAGGAGACTCTATCATTTAAAGCCGAGGGTGAGAGCAGGAGACACTTCCCAAGTCAGCTGCCTTGCACCCACCCCTCTTGGCATCAGAAGTTGACTGAGGAGAGATTAACAGAAACTCCCGGTCAAAGCCCCTGGAACAGCAATGCCCAGAGTTCTCTCATTTTTTGCTGCAACCAACGTAAGCTTGTAAAAGACCAGTAGTAAAGACTAGTGTATTAGTGAATGCATGGAGGCCAGCACTGCTCTAACCAAGACGTGATGAAACGTACATCACTTCTATAAGCCAAAAGGAAACAAAATAAAAACGACCCTTTTTACTGTACAAGGGAAGCCTGTCTTGGTGTGCGTTTGTTGCTTGACTCTCCCAATACTTTTTATTCCTGGGAAGTGGGACTTTAGCGCATTTGGGGAAAGGAGGGGAACGAAAGGGAGAGAAATGAGGATTTCTCTCAAAGTTCTGGCTAAAAAGCCAAGATTGGAGAGAAAAGCAAAGTCCTGATCTCCCCAGGGCCCCACTCACCCACCGCGTGTGGCATTCATCCCCCTGCTGGGCCACTGCTTCCAGGCCCATGATACCTATTCCTCACTGGTCCCCCGGCAGAGCCCCCAGAGATGATGTCAGCTAACCCAGCTGGGCTGGCCTTACTCCTGCCTTTTTCACCAGTATTTTAAGAAGAAAACCATTCCAACGCCCCACATCTCGGGCAAGCACAATGCCCAACAGCCTCCACTCTGCTAGCTACTGCTGGGCCCTGCCCTCCATCTCCCCCACCTACAAACCAGCAGACTCAGCTGGTCTCATTGGCACCACCCCGCCCCGCTTTGGGGACACCCCTCTCTAGGCCACGTCTCCCAGTCCAGGAACACTCAGGAGGATTTTGAAGTGCCCACTCTAGTCCGCTCCAGGAGCTCCGCTCTGGAGAGAGATGGCTGGTAGGTCAGTCCCCATCCTCCCCTCTCGGCCCCCAGCCTCCAGGCCTGCTGTGGAGGTTAGATGGCCATGGTTGTGACTTAGTGACTGAGTCCTGGGCATCTTCTGTAATGATGCCTCTTCCTTTTCTCAGATGTTGCCCAAAGTTTTGCAAAAAGCTTCGTTCATTTTCAGGTACCCCCACCCCCTAAAGAATTGGCTGCAGCTAGCCAGCCAGGGGGGACATCAGGAGAGAAGAGGGAGTCTGGGTGGGGAGGGGCCCAAGTTTTGCCATCTGGGCTGTGGCTCAGCATTGTGGTTTCTTGGATTCCCCTTCCAAGAGCACCAAGATTTCCTGTCAAAACGCTCCTGAGGCACCCCCTGCCCCTGCCCCCCACTGCTCTTTGCTGTATATAGAGGCTAAGTGGGGTGGGGTGGGCAGGTGTGCACGTGTGGTGTGTGTGTGTGTGAAGAATGTATATAGGTAAAGGGGAGCGCGGTCCAGTGGTTCCAGAAAAGGGACAGAACTCTTGTGTTCCATCCCTAACTCGACCACTGACTCGCTGTGTGGCCTTGGGCAAGTCACTTAACCTCTCTGTGCCTCAGTTTCCCCGTCTGTAAAATGGGGATAATAATACTGACCTACCTCACAGGGGTGTTGTGAGGCTTTAACTAAATGTTTTGTAAAGTGTTTTTTGAGATACAGAGGCAAAGGCACTAGGGAAGGGCAAAGTATTTATTTGGACTTCCGGAAGATGAAATGGTACCATAAATGCTGCTATTCTGAGAGCCATTTTAAACTGCACTGCTCCAACCACCCCCGCTTCTCATCACCAGGACAGCAGGTCGAGAAAATGTCTTTCCTTTCACTTGCTTCTGGGGTTTGTGATTGTTCTAGACACAATTCTTTTACCCTTGCTGTATCTCCTTCCCTCACCCCCTCGACTTGTTCCCTGTTCCGTTTATGCGGAAATGGCAGAAATGCTTGAGAAATGAGAATGTATAAGTGGATTGGAAGTTTATAGTCTGAAATTTCAATTTTACTTTGTACTGTACATCTTTTTACTTTAGAATTTGCAATAAAGGGTTACGTCAATCTTGTTTTCAACTCTCCTCTTGGACTGGCCTGTCATTCTGTCATTACTCTCACACAAGAGCCCCTTGGCCCAGGGATGCCCACCCAGCAGGATCCCAGGGCGTCTGCTGTCCTTCCCCGTGGTGGGGGCACAGTCTGAGTGAAGTCGGTGTGGGGGCTCACCCAGGCTCAGCTCCCTTAGTGGGGCTGGCAGTGCCCCACCCACTCAGGTGGGTAGGGAGAGTTTGGGACTCCAGGGAGAGCTTCAGGAGGCTTTGCCTGAGTGGAGAGAGCAGCTTGGGGGCAGCAGCCCCTGGAAGTGGGCGCAGCAGCCCCTGAAAGTGGGCGCAGCTCCAGCAGGGTCTCAGAGTAAACTGAAGCCCTGCATCTCGTGTCTTCCTCCTTTTCCCCCAGCTCCATTGCTGCTCAAACTTCTGATTCAAAGCAGCTCTGCATTCGAACACTTGACTATGCCACTAACTAGTTGTGATCAGCTTCCTCATGTGTAATGTAGATAATACCTTCCTTCTTGGGTTTCTGAAGAGGGTAACAAATAATGTATGTAACTGCTTAGCCTAGGGCCTGGAACAGTTAGTGCTCAATAAATGGTAGCTCTTAGTGGAAGAGTTAAGTGCAAGATGAAGAAGGAACTAAAGCTGACACGAACTGGGGGGGCCTGCCTCCCCTCCCCTAGCTGGCAGACTGGCACCTGAGTCCCTCCTCTTTCACTGGCAGCCCCACTGGCTATGCAGTCATTTCCAACCAACTGATAAACTGATCGTTCCCACTGTTGCGTGTTTTGTAACTTTTATATGTCAAAAGCGGCACACTACCAGGTCTGTGCTCCCATTTCACAGCTGGGGTCACAGAGGCAAGGAGGTATGGGGCCCGCCTGCAGCCCAGGCCTCAGGGGACGCCAGCGGCTCTGCAGTCAAGAGCGGCTCCGCTTCCCCGCAGCCAGGAGCCCTGGAGGACCCAAGCAGGGGCGGGGTGGGCGGTCGGGGGCTGCCCAGCCACACCCAGTCGCCATCGCCGCCGGTGATCCACGGAATGAGCAGGATGAGCAGCGCCCCGACACCCAGCGCCCCCCCGAAGCCGGTGAGGAAGCCGAGAGCCAGCGGCCCGGCCCAGCCCGCGGGGCTCCGCTGATACGGCCCCTGGGGCAGTCGCTCCACGATCAGCTCCAGCTCGTCCCAGTTGGGCTCGGGGACCGAGGAGCGGCGGGAACGCGGGGCCGGGGCCAGGACGGGGGCAGCGGGGGCGTCGGCTGTGGGCACGTAGTGCTGCCCGAACTTGCGCAGCTGTAGCGTTGCCTGCTGGTGGAGGTTTTTGCCCAGCTCCCGAGCCACGTCTGGGCGGCCGCTTCGCCGCAGAGCCCGGGCCACGCGGTCCCACGACAAGGATGGGGCCCCGGCAGCCAGCCAGGCCGCCAGCCCCTCCCGGCAGCCGTCGGACACGTCGGCAGGCTCGGCCGCCGGGCCCGCCGGCTCCCCCGCTGCCTCGCGCCTCCGCCGCCGTTGGCCTGGCATCGCCGACGTGGGCACAGGCTCGGGCTGCGCCAGCTGGTCCTCCGAAAGCCTGGCCAGCTCAGCCTCGACTTCCGGCTCCGGCGCCTTCAGCAGCGACTGGAAGTGGCCGCACTCCTCCGGGGTCAGCAGCTGGGCCAGGCGGACGGCCGCGTGAGGGCCCATGGCGTCCACGGCCCCCGCCGGAGCCAAAGCCCAGCCCCAGAGCGCCAGCGCCAGGGCCCCCGCCGGAGCCCGTGCCGCCATCTCCGGGGGGTGACTTCGATCCACCGACAGTGGGGGGAGGAGCTCCGAATGCCCGCGGGTGGGGGAGGGGGGCCAACATCCAGGTTTGGGTGGCAGGAACCAGGTTCCCACATCCAGGGACTAGGGGCGGGGGAACATCCAGGGATGAGAAGGGGGTACTCCAACACAACTTGTAGGAGGATCTCCTAACACCCAGAAACAAGGAGTTAGGAGGGAAGGATCTCACAAAACCCCAGGGGCTGAAATGAGTTTTCAATATCTAGGGATTGGGTAGGGGGACTGGAGGCTAGGATCCCCCGCCCTTATATTGAAATACCTGCTGGAGGCCTCCTGGCTGGCCCATTTCCGTCAAACTTAGCAGGTCTCCAACATCCCATGATTCCCATTTACCGACCCTCACCCTCCACCAGAAGCCTTAGACCCCTTACTCTCCTTATTTCCTATATCCAATCAATTCCCAAATTTTCTTCTTACCTGCGTGCTGTTGCTTCAGTGGTGTCCGACTCTGCAACTCCATGGACTGTAACCCACCAGGCTCCTCTGTCCATGGTATTCTCCAAGCAAAAATACTTAAGTGGTTGTCCTGCCCTCCTCCAGGGGATCTTCCCAACCCAGGAGTACAACCCATCTCTTACATCTACTTTGGCAGGTGGGTTCTTTACCACTAGCCCACATGGGAAGCTTTCTTATTACCTACTGAATATGTATAGACTACCCTTTCCTGTCCTCCCGCAGGTGCATCCAAACCCTCATGCTCTGTTTGGATAAGGTAAGTGATCCTCAAGTCCCCACGCTGCCTCCATACACAGGGACTGAACTCACTTCCTTTCCCCAAGTGAGCTCAGCTCAGGTGCTTCTTTAGATCTTGGACTGCACTCTCTGCTTTGCCTCAGTCACTCCTCAGCTGACAAGTCCTTTCTGGGATGCCCTCCCTGCCTCCCACCCACACCCTTGGCCTTATGTCTTCTCTAGGCACCCCTATCTGCTCCCACAGCACCCTACAGCTCTGTCTTCATCCTGTCTCCCCCATTTGACTGTGTGGGTGCCGAGTCATGTCTGACTCCGTGTAACCCCATGGACTGTAGCCCACCAGGCTTCTCTGTCCATGGGATCCTCCAGGCAATACTGGAGTGGGTTGACATTTCCTCCTCCACGGGATCTTCCTAACCCACAGATCGAACCCACCTGTCTTGCGTCCCCTGCATTGGCAGGTGGATTCTTTACCACTGTGCCTGGGAAGTGGCCCCATTTGACTGTAAGGGCTACCTGTTGTCCCTGTAGCAACTAGTGCGTAACAGGTGTTCAGTTAAAGATTTGTTGAATCCGTGTGTGAACTCTTTAACTTGCAAATCAGTCCCTGTCCACCAGCGACTAACCCCCTCCCCACCCTGCCCCCACAGGCTTCATGGAAGAGCCTCCTGGTACAGCCTTATGGTCCCATTGTTCTCTCCCTCCCCCTCACTCTTGCCCTCACTTTATGCTCTTGTAACTATAGTCACAGGTATGGTACGGTTTCCAGCTTCCATAACTTTGTCAAGCTGAACCCACCCAAACCCGTCCAGGAAGTTGTTCTGACCCAGCGCCAGTACCACCACCACCACCACCCACCCCCCACCACGAGTCAGGGTCTTTTCTGGGCATTCTCGAAATAACCTGTGCATCCTCCATCAGGACACTTGCTGGAAATGAATTCGAGGATTTATTCAGTGTCTCCTATATGCACCAAACACTGTGCTAGATGTAAGAATATAAAAATTTTGATAAGGTCCCTCCTCGAGCAGCTTTATCTAGCTATATTTTCAAATGATCCATTGTTGAGTTTTTCCCATCCTGTAATGTGGGCTCTCCAGAACTGAGGCTGTACTTAACCACTTCTGTATCCTGAGTGCTGTCTACACAGAGTAGGTGTGCAGTAAACCAACTAGATGGCAAGGGGGGTCTGGACCTCCAAGGGCTGAGAGGGTTGGGGTCGCTGAGCCGCAGTTCATTGTGCCCTCATACCCAGGCATACCAATTGTTTCTCTCAGAGCGGAAACTGCTTCATAGAATCTGGCCATGGGCGGACTTTGGCTCCGGAAAGCCCTGGATAGGCTCTAAGCCTGGGCCAGTGGAAGCCAGGGGGCCTGCTTCCCTGGCCATTCCATGCATTTTTGATCGTTTTGCTGAGCACATTCAGGTCCTCAGGAAGTTGTGGGTCCAAACCTCTCATGGACATCTCCATACAGCCTTTTTAACAAGATGCTCCTCCCCAGTTTTTTGTGTCCAGTTTATGTTGAGCTGTCAGTCTGGGGATTGACGGATGGTGGTGGACGAAGGATCCCAAGTGACCTCAAAGACTGGAACACACGGTGTCGCCACCCTTCCCTCTGTCCCCTTCCCCTCCATTCAAGGATGGACTACAAATATGATCCTAGCTCTGGCCAACAAGGGCTGCTGTCCAGGTTCTAAGTGAAACTTCCTCTTCAGCATTCATCTATTTATTCACCCTCTCACTCACTCAGCAAACATATGAGCCCTTTTCATCCCTTATGCTTCAGAGGTCGGGGGCTGTTAAGTCAGCCCCTAGGAGCTCAGAATTGCGGGCAGGCCTTCCCTATCGAAGAGTTTTCCCCCCGATGGTTCCACTTGTGTGGTAGGCACTCACAGTGCCAGAGTAACAGGAATGGTCATGTTTTGCTAAAGAAACAAACTCACCCAGAGCCACATCCATGGCACCAGCAGACCTGGAAGCCCACGCATTCCCCAAAGGGCTCCCCACGTCCTGCTGCCCCCAAGAAATCCTCTGGAAACCACGTGTCATCGCTTTAATACTGTGTCATACTTTCTTTTAAAATACAGTCTCTTCTGAGGTAGACAGACCGAACTGCAGAGCGTCATCAGACAGGAGATAAATACATCCATGTACAACACGCATCAAAATGAGGTAGAAATGGTTACAGCTGGAGGGGAGGACCCCAACCCCAACGTGGGTAAAGGAAGAAGAGAGCCAGCCTGCCCTCCCCCCATCCTTGCCCCTGGATTCTTTGGTATGCCCCCCCCAACACTGCCAGAGCTGGACCTGCCCTTCTCCCACTCGCCCCAGTGCCCAAGAGGTAGGTGCTAGTAGACTGGGGGCTGTCTCCTTGTGCAAAGCTCCCCAAGGCCAGTAGAGGAGGCGGTGGGGGCCCTGGGTCTCACAGTGAGCTCTTCCCCCCAACCCCAGAGCTGTCTGCCTCTTGAAGGGATGGCTGAGATCCCGAATCCCCTCCCCAATGCCCTCCACCCACCCACCCCCCCTTATACATACACACACCTGAGAGAACCTGCTCACTCCCTGCTCCCCCCACAGGCTTTTCACAGCCGAGACCCTGCACCCCCTGCTTCTGAGGCACCGCAGCCCTTCGGTCAGCCAGCTCCGAGGAACAGAAGGAAGGGCAGGGACCAAGGCGGGGAGGGAGAAGAGAGAACAGAGCAGCTTTCCTGTTAGCACTCCTAGGCCAGCACAGACCCTCAGCACCTTGGCACCTGAAACATCCCCTTGGACTTCCTTCCAGCTGGGAGTGGGAGGTGGGAGACACTGCAGGAGCTGTCAAGGCGGTAGGAGAGAGAAGTGGGGTGGTGGCTTGTCCCCCCACCTCTGGACCAAGGTCAGAGTTGTGAAATGGACTCCCCAAAGCCCCATCACAGGAAAGTTGGTGGGAAGAATACAGTTCTCACAAGGAAGGGTGCCTAAGCCTGGGCTTCTGGTGGAGAGTTTGGGACTGAGAAAAAAGTCCAATGTTTATTCAGGGGAACACAGCTGCCCATCTCCTTCACCCTCTCATAGCCCCTGGAGCTCCAGACCTAGGACCCTAAGAGAACAGGAGAGGTAAGAGTCCCCTCAGAACCTTCTCCTGCAATGGACGGACACTCACTCACCCCTCCTCAGAGCCTCCCAGCAGACCATGGAGGCTGAGTCTGTAATGAACTCTGTGCCCAATCAGACCTGTGGCCAGACTACCTTCCCTCCAGAGGAAATCTTCTTAGCATAAGTTACAGGAGAACTCTGCCTAGACAGGGACCAGGTGGGAGGACCTCTCTGGGGACTTTCCACCTGGGTCATCTTTCCATTTGGGCCCTCTCAGCCTACCTGCTAGGTCTGGGGCAGGCAGTGGGCAAGGGCATCCCAACTCTGGGTAACCAACCCTCCACACAAAACACCCCACTCAGCTGAGGGGTGGGGCCTACAGGAAGAGCAGCAGGAAGGGAGCAAGACCTACCTCCTTCCAAATGCCACAACGCAGTCCTCATCACCTCTGCCTACAACCTGGCCCTGAGGAGGAGGCCCCTACAATACATTCTGCTTCTGTCCCAAGAAGCGCAGGGGTTGGAGTGTGGCCTCTCTGTCTTCCTCTCCCCTTCCCCTCAGGTCTCACTTTCTGAGTCTTCTGAGAGAACCTGCTTCCCTAGGGCTTAAGGGGTTGAAGGGCTGGGGGTGGGGGGAACACACACAGGAAAGCAGCCAAAATCTAACATTCTTTCTGAGGTCAGTTTCTTCCTGAGTCGTCAAAAGAAAAACAGCAAAGTCTACACATCTTACAAAAATAAGAGGCCTAAAATATTAAACAAGCTACATTTCTGGAATTTTCCTCCTCAAAAACAACAATAAAACCCCCTTCTTTGGGTGTTTTTCTTTTTTGCTTGACTCCCACAGACCTAAGGTTTCAGCCGGATGAGGGATAAGGGGTGAAGGGAACCCCCTCCTCCTCAGCCCCTTAACCTCCAGATCTTCCGCAAAGGGACCTGCAGTCTTTGAAAGTGAGGGACAGACAGCAGGGACAGGGACCAAGACAGAGAGAGGCTGGAGAGCAAGGGATAGAAACAGAAGCACTGAAGGTGATAGACGGAGAGACAGGGCGGGGAGGAGCAAAAGGGAAACAGGGCCGGAGTGGGGGAGCGAGAGAAGGGCGTATGGTCAGTGACAAAGCAACGGAGAAAGAAAACTACCAGAAGCAGAGAAAGGGAGACGTGGAGAAGGGGGA